TTCAACATCATATTTCCCGCTATTTTTAAGTCAGTCAGCCGGGGACCATGCCCACTGCTGGTCCTATCTCTGGACACACTGGCAGGCTGAACAACTCCATACAGTAGGCTGAACAAGAAATAACTGATATGACGGAAAAGCGCTCTGCTCCCTGACCCTCACTGCACCACAATCTGTCCTATCACCACTTGCTCTCCTTGATCTCTGTGTGATTCAGCTTGCTCTCACCATATGGACTGCCCACTTTGTGTCACTATTCCTCCCGCAAGGTTGAGACCTGCATATGTTATGAATATTCACACAACCTAGAAGGGTCATTTAAATATTCTTTAAAACCATGTATATTCAGCTTACATTTGGCCTATAGTAGCTATTACGTCTCTTGTTCACCTCAGCAGCTGTACCTCTAATTGGCTCTGATATAAGTTCATGTGATGCAGCCTGCTGGCCATGGCATGTGGGTGTTACAACAACCACTGTGATGTAAAAGCAATTGGAGACAACTTCAGGCACAACACAGAGGAATAGTTCCCTCTGTACATCACGCACAGTTGCTACATTTGAAGGGTCCAAATTAAAATCTGAGTGGTATGGAGCTGTTTTTAGGTTTGAGCTCTCAGCATTGTAGATCACTTGAAATACAGTGGAGCATATTCAGCGCTATTGCTCTGAAAATGCTGCAGTGAGCACCTGGTCTGGTGACATTGTGTCCTTGGCTGAGGATTTCACACACTTAACCCAGAAAATCTCCCCCATTTTTTTTGTTCTGAAACACAACTCAAGCGAGTGGCTTTCAGTGACAGCCAAACAGATTGCTGTTAAAAGGGTTTTTAACAGCAAAGACACATGGAGCATCTCGTATCAAGTGGTCTACCGTATCTTAGCTCACACTGCCTCAATGACAAATAGCTGAGTGGTCATAATCAAACCTAGAATGCAAGTATTTTTCTCGTGATCTAATAGCTGCACATAGCTCCATTTGGTCATGAGATAACCCTGCCATTATTCTTGCCCATCTCTAATATTCATTCTGTCTGGATGACAAAAAAAACATATTTGTAACAATGCCAACTCACATTGATTCAAGTGCATTTCCAGACCAGTGCATTTTCTTTTAATGCTGACTCAGCAGCTTTGGGGTTATTGGTGAGCAAAAACGGTTGCTCAGTCAGTTTTCCTGACATTATTTTACTGTTGACCCAGCAATTTTGGATCTCCATCCTTCAGATTACCTCTGTTGTAGGGAGCTGGGTAGATAAATCCTAATGTGGAAAAGCAGGCAATAATGTACACCTTCAGACATGCACATGTGCACAGCTTCCTGGCTTATTTATGCCTTCTCTTCATGCAGGAAGAAACCTTGTATGCTACTGCTACTATTATAAAGGGATTTCATCATGGCCAGAGAATTATGGCTGCTTCCTCAGTCACTATAGGATATGTAGCTGGCAGGTTAAGAGGAGCTGCTGCCAGGCTTTACTGTGCTGAATCAGTTGTTAGAGGCAAAGGGGGTTTGTGTGTGTTTTTTTGCATATATACTATAAGCATTAAATACTTATGATCACTAAGCTAGCATATGTACAGACGTGCAAAATGTCTCGTGATCGCAATAGAAATGTTGTATGTGTTGTCAGTGCTGGTTTTACGTCTGAGACAGAGGATTAGGTTGGTATTTGGATCCATGTCAAATGTTACTATAAATAATTAAGTAAAAATCAAATAATAATGCATTAGACCGGCAAAGTAATTTAAATTCTGGATTATATAAATGGTATTAGATCAATTGGATAAATGTCTGACAATGTTGCCCCTTTCACACCAAGGCTTTTCGCGTTCTAGCTCCGTGCTAGAGCTTTTCTGGTTCGGTACCGGTTCTTCGGTTCAGCTCCCGCTCTGTTCACACTGCTCAGAGCCCGACTGGTGCTGCGTCATTGCGTCATCGTTTGCGTCATGACGTAACCGTTTGCGTGCCTGCTTCATAAAGCCAAACCGCGCGGAAACCCCTCATATCGACAACAACAACAATGGCCGATTGTATTGAAGCGCTACTCGTTTTGGTTTTGCTCTGTCGAAACGAAATGGAAGAAATGGGACGACTTTACTACCAACTTTACAGTCGTTACATGCTACATTCAAAAGTTCTTACACAGTTACACAGTGGGCCAAAATAAAAAAATCGGTACTAGTCGAGGGCCGGACTGGTTCAATGTTTATTGCATAACGTATTGAAATGAACTTATTGCACATATTAAACCTGGAACTAACAAAGCTTAGATGATTGCCTATAAAAACAACATTACACAGTGTTAGGCTTTTTGTTGTTGTTAGAGGTTGATCTCGCCCCTGCCCCCGCCTCCGACGTAAGCGTGACGTGCTTGCTTTCTAGACCGACAACTTTTTGGTCCTTGAAACGAACCGGATTCCGGAGCTTAGAGGCGGGTCCGCTGCAGTGTGAACAGGAAAAAACTGTGCTTTTCAAGCTCCAGCTCCGAACTGGCCCTGGAACCGCGTTGGTGTGAAAGGGGCATGAGTCATTTTAGACTTTAGAGCAGTGATCACCAACTGGCGGCCCGCGGGCCACATCCGGCCCGCCAGACATTCTCATCCGGCCCGCACGACGGGGGTGACTGTGGCGTTGGCGGAGTGGTTACTGCGTTCGCCTCCCACCCATTTTATTTTTTTACAACGTCTCGTGAGTAAGGTGCAGTACCGGAGTCCAACAGAGAGGCAGCAGCTGCGGGTCAGTAGACTGCGTACTGCGAAACCTTCCCTGCCTTGAACAAGAATTGATCCTTCGTTGTGAAGAGTCTTGTTAATGCGCTCCGCACCACAGCAGTAGCCCCGCTGCGACAGAGTCCAACAGAGAGGCAGGAGCTGCGGGACAGTAGCCTAGAAGCAGGGTTGGGTTGTAACGGAATACATGTAATGGCGTTACGTAATCAGAATACAAAAATCAAGTAGGCTAACTGTATTCAGCTGGCGTTACATTTGAAAAACGAGTAATCTGATTACAGTTACTTTCGTAAACCTGAAGTGAATACATTTTGGAATACTTTTTGGAATTATTGGTGGAAAAGTTTCCTCACAAAATGTAATATTCATTACTGGCAGAACTGTGTGCACACTGCACAGCGCTGCAGCATGTCTGTGAGCGAGAGAGAGAGATGCAGCGTGTCTGTGAGGCCCCGCCCCCGCACGCAGATGAGAGAGAGAGAGATCTCTTTTAAACTATATTGAAAGTTAGAAGCGGAGATGGTTCGATAAAATGTGCAAGATAACGTTTATGTAGCATTTCTTTATTGTCGAAATGATGACATTTATAACGGGATGAAATCAAAGTGAATGGCCTGCTGCTGCTGAATGCATGGGGCAAGTGACTGGAAACAGTTTTAAAAGTTATTACATCGTTTCAGATAATACATAATAATGATAATTCATTCTATTTAGGGGCGCCTTTCAAAGCACCCAAGGACACCTTACAATTTATAACATATTCTAAGGAAAGGTTTTAAGACAGTACAAAGAATGCAGTCAGGGTGATGTTTTTTATGTGTGGTGCAGATGAGAGGGAACTGTCCAGAATGACACCAAGATGTTGTGTTTGAGTTCTTGATAAGCCATTAAAACAGTAAAATAAGTGTCTCCTGTTCACCAAAACATACCCATCTGTTATGGAAAAAGAAAGTAATCCAAAAGTATTCTAAAAGTAATCTGAATACATTTTTAAGACACGTAACTGTAACTGTATTCTGATTACTTTCAGAGCATGTATTCAGTAACTGATTACATTTACCAAGTAACCCTCCCAACCCTGCCTAGAAGTGATCCTTCGTTAGCATGAAGAGTCTGCTAAGCTTGCGGTCCACAGTACCTGAGCGTGCTCCACTAGCACCCCCCCACTTCAAAATTCTGGGCTATATAAAAATCGCTGGCCCGCGATAGTGTCTATTGGATACATTTTGGCCCTTGGACAAATATAGTTGGTGATCCCTGCTTTAGAGTGTCCTTGATCTTCCATTTATTTATTTTTTTACAGCTGCAGCACGCTTACTGACGTCTTCACAACACTCATACTCTCACAGTTACTCCCCAGAGATAAAAAAATGCAGTGGTTGAGTTGTTCCAGCAGAAGCTACACTGGCCATATTCGTTATAATGGAAGATTATATCACCCCAGCAACAGTATGGCGTATTAATGCGTTTTTAATAGTTTTGGGATGATTGAGCTCTATGGGACGGAGGCATAAGCTTGGTCTATATTAGTCACAGTCAATGTTGTACTTGTTAAATTCAGGCCTTAATCAATTTCATAGCACATTCAGAACATGATTTGCATGTACGTATTACAGCGGACTCATTCCTCACACTTTTAGAAACGAGTTTGGCTTACACGTCTTTGGAGGGATACATTTGGGGAATGGGCAGATGGGAGACAGGCCCACTCAGTCTGCCCCAGCTGCTGGGAGATATTACGCTCCATGTGTGGTGATTATAGGTCCTCAGGAAGGCGTCATACTTCGTACAGAGACTACTTAGGCACCAAAGAAACAGTCAGGGATGAATGCAAATGCACTTGCTTCCTCACACCTTCAAGCGCACACAGTTTGAGTTAACCCCCCGGGTAACTGCTGGTGCTTACAACCGTGGTTTAGTATTCACTGTGCTTGGTCAAATGTGGAATCCCCACTGTGAGCCAGATAAGCTGTTTAGATTAAGAGTTGTTCAAAAAGATTTATCATATTTCTGTGTTAGCTACATTGTTATGTTTTTTACTGCTTTATTTTCGTGCGATCATCCCTCTTAATCTCAGTTCTGTTAGGAGACCTCCACTGTGAAATTGCCTATTAAGTTCATCTTGGACAGTTAAATAGCGCAGCATGTTAACTTTATAGCCACACTTATCTTTTGTTGTTCAACCATACATTCTGTCATCTATGTTCAGTCATTAAACTTTATTTTGTGTTCTTATTGACACTATTTTCACTATACTTGTTTTACAGGTGAGCCGCGCAAGTTTGACCCCACCTTCAGAGGGCCTGTTCACAACAGGTATGACACATACTCAATATCACCACCTTTTTGCTTTATATTTGTTCCTTATGATAATGTACTTGTTTAGAAATATTCAAAATGTACTCAATGTACAATAAAGTCACTGCACTCTAAATAACAGGAAATGAAAATCCTTTCACCTGCATTATATTAGAAAGGTGGCTGAGAACATAACCAAAAGCAACATTCCAATAGATTTAAAATATAATGTATACTTAAATATCAGTAGGAGTTTAAAATATGTTTTTTTAAATTCTCCTTAACTGACCCTTTACATACTAGTCACTATCTTCCAACATCTGATTCTTACGTGTTTATCGATTTTTGCCCATTGTATAATCTTTTTGGCACACAGCAAAGTTGGAGTGCTGATGGATTGATCATTTGTCATGCCACGTTAATAAAGATCGAGGCAGAGTGCTGGCAGCTCTCTCCACTTCAGCACACAGATCAATGACCATAAGTCTAACTGGTGGCTGAGTTAGCCCAATGACCCACACTATTAACCAGCCAGATACACCCAAACAGATATAGCCCACACATCACCGGAGCTATTGGAGGGAGATGTCTCCGGGCTTTCGCACAGTAGCACTTCTCCAGATGACTACTGTCTACTCCTGCCTCATGAGGGCAGCTATTTATTGTTTGCACTTTGCCCTTATTTCGAGATAATATATTGAAAATCAAATACAGAAGAATGTTCTATGAAGGTCACATGAATGTGTCATCTCAAAATTGGGGTCTTACAAGTGGGGTCACATAGCCTATAAATGTGGCAGGATGAATAATTCAAGGGACAGACTGATATCTTAACTAAAAAAGTCATAAAAAAGTATGGTCACATGCCAAAAACAATAAAAAAAACCTAATGTACATTCTTAAAGGTGGGGTAGGTAGGTTTGAGAGGTTCGAGCTGGTTTCTCCAAAATGACCTACCCCACCTTTAACAGATGTGATGCTCATTCAAAAACATAAAGTTGAGGATTTTCCTCTTAAAAAATAAATACATATAAGATATTCAAAATGAAGTCATTTTACGACCACTTGATTTCTTGGCACGAAGAAGAGTTGCATTTTGCACTAAAGCAAGAAAAATCTTCAAGGCTCTCACCACAGATTTTTATTTTATTATTTAGTCATTTTCTGAGGTGATGTTAGGCTCTTACCTCTTTTATGTTCAATTCAGTCTGGCAGGCTTCTGTGAAGGCATGTTTCAGTCCTCCTGTGCCTCTTTATCCCACCCTCTCCAGCCCATTTCCCTGCTACAGCTGGGTGAAGGCACCAAGGATGCTTTGATGTTTCTGTGGCTCAGAGGCTTTCCTTAATGAGAACTTGGAGAGAACTGACTCCTTGGTCGTCTTGTTTTCACGCAAGCTCGGAGCCTAAATGAACTAACTATGCCTATGGTTTTTGAGTAGTCCTCTTTATGACATACAGAAATGGACACGATATAATATTAGTTAAACCTGGCTCCAGCTGTAAACAATATAAAACTCTGATATAATCTGTGTAAAAAACCAATGCAACCAACTGCACACCCATATTGTAGCAGTCATGCCTTTTTTATGTGCAATCAAAAACATTTTAACTATAAATAAGTTGTTCGCTGCCTTCATAGCAAATCACCCAAAGGAGCCTCGTGTTTGGCTCACTCGAACCAATACCCCTCTGGGCTTTCATGACCATGAGAAATATCCTTTTATTGTGCAAAGCTGACCGTCCATATCGCTTCCTGTTAATGTCTGTTACAAAGCAGGGACAGGCTGGCAGATTCACACCACAATGGCACCCATGCTATGCTGTGGCACTGCTGCCATCTGTCACCTTGGCTCAAATATAACAGTGACACAAAAGTTTCATATTGCACCAACATAGCTTCAAGCACCGATTATTCTTTCAAAGCAGCTCTGCGCCCCGGCACAGTTTACAAGCCAGGCAATGCTTTGGTCCCTCTCTTAACATCTGAAGAGGCCGAGTTGGGGTCGACATAGATTTGCAGTTTTCGATGTGGCCTGCTTTCCAGAGATAAGAGAACAAAGCAGAATTGTTTTCACTCCCCTTACTTTGTCAGCTCGACTTCAAAACTCACCTTTGCATGCCTCGAAGGTGACTTTGTATTCGCTGTGTGTGCAGTTTGTCTTAATAATGCTGTCAATACGAGGGAGTTGGGAAACGAGATGGATCTACAGAAACACATTACGATCGAGGAGAGGCAAGGTCGGCTTTAGACCCACGGCCCCTCAGATTCCCCTTTTAATCATCTACGAGTGATAGCTAACTTAGGATAGACATGGATTTAAAGACAATACATGCAACCATTTCCATGGCAACCCTGACAGATCTTCCTCTAGATCTTTATTGGATGGAATGAAATGGTACTCCCTTGTCACCCTTTGTTAATAATATGCACAATATCAGCAACAGCTTTGCTGGAAGTGTGGCAGGTTGTCTCTGTCCTCATATTCCCTGTCAGAGTAAAACTGTGGCTCCTGTCACCAGGCAGAGCTGTGCCCACTGCCTTTGTTTTCTCTGTTATCTTCCAAAAATAATTGTTGTGCTTTCCAAGTACAAGTAGACCAAGTCCCCAAGCCTTATTTCATTTTGCAACCAACTGGTCTTTTGTTAGTCTTTTGTCATCCGGTGTCCAAGTCTGATGGTGGCATTTTTGCCTGAGAATACGGAGCAAATGATCTGAGTAGAGATATTTTGAATGTGCAGGTATCTACATTCATAAAGTCATTTAGATAAGGAATGTGATAAAAGAGTTATCTTATTCTGAAGTGAGAAATTAATAGAACAATTTGACTTTTAAGGACAGAAAACATTCCCAATCCTCTTAATTCAGCAAACCTATCTACTAGAGCAGCCTGTTAACATAGATTGCAGTTATTAATACAGCACCATAAAAAGTCACTTTTAATTGCTAACTTAGGCTAGACATGGATTCAAAGACCTAAGGTCCTAAGTTAGCTATCACTTGCAAACAGTCTCGGATAATGCATAGCCGCCCCTAAATCTTCAGAGGTAACACTGAAAATCCAGTTAAAAAAGGCATGATTCTTTCTTGTTTGCATCTTTATATAAGTCAATTACTCTTAATTTAAGCTCTTATTTGTATGGGTTGATCTTCAGCTGATCTCCTCTGTGTACGTCCTCTCTTCACTGTCTGAGAGCAGCCGGTGTAGAACCATGTAACCATGCTGCATACAAAACAAGGACAATCCACTCTTCAAAGAACTACACAGAGGAAACACTGTCACATCTCTGAGCTCAGGCCTCCTTTTAACATTGGCTTCACTCCTGTGGATGAAAGAGGCGAAGGGTTGAAAGCTGGAGGAGATGAGGGTCTCGAGTCAATTTGTGTAGCGTATGGTGTAAGGGGGAGGCTTCGAATATCCGTTGCATGGTACTAATGGGCACACTGGATTGAAATTGGCTTTATTCAAGGCTGGGCTCAGAACCCAAAAGCCTGAATAGTATTGAAAGAGGGCTAAGAAGGCCCCGGAAATGACAGCTTCTCACAGGTCGGGAAGAAGGGGAAAGAAACCTCGCCGTGCGTTGGAGAGAGTGAAAAAGCAAAGAGAGAGACTGAGAAGCTTCTTTAAAGCAGCAGGCTGAGGACACTGTGGATGGGGAGGCAATCTTCAAATAGCTTTCTCTGTGCCTGTGTGACAGTCAACTCTGGGGGGGGGATTCCACGTCTCATTAGAAAGTCAGTAGACCTCCTCTACAGATTCTCTGGAAGCACAGCATACAGATGACACCTTGGTATACCTTGGTAGCAGGCGCTGAACCCAAATTTGAAGCTTGTTCTCACTTGACATACTGCGACTCTCATGAGTGCCAACAATGAAATGGTTAAAAACTATGGGTTAATAATAAATAAACTCATATAGTTCTCCATGGAATTAGGCAAACTCCCAATTTCTCCTGGTGAATACTGCATGTATTGTTGTCATGATACTGATGTGTTTTTGTAATCTTTCCTGTCACACATCTCTTATTTGTTATTGCACATGTCCCCCCCCCCCCCTCAGGAGCTGCACTGATGTGGTTTGCTGTGTTGTCTTCATCACTTTCATCATCGGCTACATCGCGCTGGGTACTGTGGGTGAGTTTGACACATTGCTGCTGATCGCATGTTTCCTAATGACGCAAATAGACTTGATGTAATAATGTTCTGCTCTAGTTCTAATCGTAATATTCAATCTTAATTGAAATAGTAATACTTTCATTTTGAAACGTGCTTTTTGTTTGATTTATTCATAATTTCATGGTGGCCTATTCAATAAATGTCTGATTGGTAAAATGGCAGAGGAGTTGAGAACTGCAGCCGGGCAGACTTGACTTGAGGTGATGATGTTTTGAGGTCCCAGTTGAATTTTCTTGACTGGATCACCATTGATTCCCTCTGGCTCTCATTTCATTCAAATGTTGGCCAAGCTGTTAAGTTCGCTTAAGCGTGACAGGGATTCCACTTTGTTGGAGACTGACTGAGGCCATACAGACTTATGAATCTCCTCATCAGCGCTTCTATTCTGTCTGTCTTGCCTCAAGTTTTCCTTTTTCCTATTGGATTATCCTTCCCTTCCTTCTGTCTGTCGACTTTTATTAATTTCTCAATTTCCCCTGCTCTGCCAGACATGATATTATATCCAACACTCCTGACTGCACATTCCTTTCTTCCCTCTTTTATGCACTCACATACAATATACATCACACATTTAAGGAAAGTGCTGTCATCAAAGTGATGTCCTTTGCCAGCTCCATTTGAGTCATGGTCTCAATCTGGGCATTTTAAGAACTGACTCAATCATTCAAGAAGAGCAGGAGGCATGACAATGGATGTGAATTTTAACGCAAGCTGACATGTCTGCTATCAGCTGAATAAGGCGGTGTCCTTTCTATATTAAGTTCCATTCTCCTTGTTGTCAAAGACTTATAGGCTGCATTTATGTTGCTGCCTCCTGTTCAGCACAATCCTTCATTGACTGGCAAGGTGAAAGGCCTGGTGTTGTTCAGGTTTGGCAAACAAAGAGTTGCTCAGTCAATTGAGTTTCAGGGTTACTGCTACTACCTCTATCAAGAGAAGCAGAAAAAGCAAAGCAAATGAAATTGGATTGATTTGTTTGGAGTTTTATCTCCATTTGTATTGTTGTCTTGTTAATTGCGATTCTTATATTTTGTGCTGGGTGAGCACAGAGACGGCCTGATGCACTCATAGATTGAGGATTTGATCCCTAATGATTCATATCACCTCTTTGATGCAGCTGTACTTAAATAATGATCCACTGCATGTCTTTAGGTAGCTGATCATTTTCACTGCTACATGGAAAAAACAAGCTCTCTTACTCACACACTCCAAGACAGATAGCATGTGTCATGGAGACTGAAAGGGAGGGTAATGTGTTGATCTTGTGTGCCTCAGTAGGTCGACAAAAACAGTAACATTGCCAGTGTCAGGAATATGTGTCTAGCCTGGTTACAAATGTTAAAAACCAAACCAAACCCTTCTGTGCTGTATTTTCAGCCTGGATCCATGGCGACCCCAGGAAGGTCGTCTATCCAACCGACAGCCGCGGTCAGTTCTGTGGCCAACAGAACACCCCCAATGCGTGAGTGGAAAAACACATTTCCTAAATGATTGTACACTGGAATAATGATGTTCCCCAAATTGTCTGTCAGCTTTCCACTGTTATCTTTATACTCACAAAAGGATTTGACCACAATACATGGTGATAGTTTGTGATTAATTATGGCAGGCTTTGCAGCACGGTATACTCTCTCCCTCTGCGCGCTGATAAGACATTGCAGTAATGGACTGGTTTTCTCAATCCTTCTAATCAGACTCCTCTCTATATCTCCATCATTTGTCTCCACAGAAACAAAACCAAATTATTCTACTTCAACATGTTGAAATGTGCCAACCCTGCAGTTTTGATTAACCTCCAGTGCCCTACTACCCAGGTAAGAGACTGAATGAAGCTCGTTCCAGCAGCACACTCGGCTTTATGTTTCCCTCCAACCTTACCGCCACGCTTGATTATCCAAGATTGATGGGCTTTCTCATTAAGAGGATGTGTTGTCTCCTCCAGCTCTGTGTCTCCAAGTGCCCTGACAGCTTTTCAACCCTCCTGGATGCATGGGGTACCAACAAATGGGAATATTACAAGCAATTCTGCAAGCCAGGCTTCGAGATCAGCAGCAAGGTGAGTGACAGTGCTAAGTGGTCTGTTTTCTCTTTGCAAACAAGATGAAAACATATATTGACCTTCAAGCCTCTTCAATGTATGACATCCAGGTATGTTTATATTCCAGTTTGTCACTTACTTTTGGAGGTGCTGTACATGAGCGTACTTGTAGGGATGGGTATAGTTAACGGTACTACTACTTTTATCGATACCGCTTATCGGTCGGGTCTTTTAACGGTACTCTTATTATCTTATCTTAGGCGGGAGGCGTGTGGTGCAGTGGGTTGTGCGTTGGTGTTCGGATCAGGGGGTCACAGGTTCAAACCCCACTGCAGTCAGCATGTCGTTGTGTCCCTGAGACACTTCACCCCAAATTGCTCCTGTGGGGATTGTCCACAGTATTGAGTATGTAAGTCGCTTTGGATAAAAGCGTCTAACAAGTGACATGTAATGTAATGTAATCTTATCGGTTCTTTTGGAGAACAAAATAAGGTAAACTAACTAAACAAATTGTGAACAAAACTAACTAGCTTTTTATTTAAATTAAATACATAATATTTCACATCAAAAGAAACAACAATGTTTTAACAAATCGTATTAAATAATCTGATGACAGAACTGTAAACAGAATAGCTGAAACTTTAACAAACTAAATAACTCACAGGGGTAGACATTAAGGCCGGTGGAATTGTATTGTCACTGGCCCCACCATTGTAACCTCTGGCCCGGAGCGTTCGTCCAAAAAAAATTGACTTAAAATGAAGAAAATTAACACATTTGTTGCAATAGTAATTTATGCACTAACTACATTACTACTTGTACTACAACATTTCAATCATCAGTTCTTCCTCATTTTCCTCAATTGTTCATATTTGGTGTGTTAAAATAATGATATTGTGGTCATTGTTAAAAAATGGCTGCTATTATGAGTATTATTATTTGTATAATGCGCTTTCTGCCTTCCTGTCATTAGGAGTTAGACATGTAATGGCTATAGATTAGATTAGAACCTTCATTATCCTAAACTGCTGGGACATTTCCCTAAAGCCAATACCTTTATATTGTCTACTCTTCACTTACTTGTCAGCATAGGTCGGCATTGATGTACAGAGCCGACTAAAGAATACCTTGTTTATCATATACATGGCATCATATTGAGAGGTGCAGTGACTCGTCCTAAAACCAGGAAGTAAGCTGCTGGTTCCCTCGACAAAAAGCAATGGGATTTCTCCACAGGGTTTTGGAAAATAGCTGGAAATAATGTCTTTGGAAAACAAACCTGTTTGATAAATGCACATTTTGTTCAGCCGGATAATCTCCACATATCTACCCTACTTTTCTAATTTTTTAATCATAAATCTAATCGATAGATTATAAAAGGGTTTTAGGACGCGTCACTGCACCACTAGAAGCCAACTCCATCGATCAAGCTGGCTGAAACGTTCTCTCCCTCTTCTTCTCATGCTCCCTGTCACTCTCCTTTAACTCCTCCGGTGACTTTCTTTTATTTGAAGATTGTTTTTTGGCCGGTTACCGCTGGTATTCAAAACATGTTGGCGAATGGTAAGGTGGCGCGATAGTCTGTATGAACGAGCGCGCTCCCGCTCACGGGAGCCTGCTCGCGCTGTGCTCCGCAGCAAACAGCTGTTTGCTTTTCACCCAACAACGACAACCACCTCACGAAACGCTATGTTGTAGCGTTTAATAAACGAAACAATTTAACTAAATTGCTAGTCAAAATACCTATACTACAGGACAATTTTTTTTAAAGCAATATTTTTAGTGGCCCGAGCGGGCAAGTGGAAAGTACGTTATGCTGGCCCGGGGTGTCTAAATAGTGCTTCCGGGCCAGCGGGCCATTTATAATGTCGAGCCCTGACTCAGTTACCTCTAATCATTAACCCGTGTTTGTATAATGTAGTTAACTCCGTGTGTTGCTGCTAGCATACATAATACCTGACGTGGAAACGTTACTCGTGGATGGGGCTACAGAGATGCTAGAAAGACAGTCGAACCCGGTGCATTCCTCCGTCTGAATGTGGAGCACTTTTGCTAAATGTTTAGACAAATTGTTCGTGTTACCGCCCTTACATGCTAAACTCTTATTGCACTTTTGGTAACAAGCATTGTCCACATCGAGACGGGTAAAGTTTAACCACACCTCGGAGCGTGTTCTCTCCGCCATCTGCTCCGCTGTGTGTTGCTGCATGTAGCAGCTGCGTGTGTGTAAACTGCCCCGCCCCCTCGCAAGCAGGCGGGGGAGAGAGAGATCTCTCGTCTGGATTGGAAAGATCGAAAATACAAAAACAAATCATAGACGCATTTTGCAGTCTTTTTGCATATTAGAAACAGAGTTGGCGACACTAAAACTGCAATATAATGTTTGTGTAGCAATAATACATATGACATACTTTGTACATGTCTCCAGTACCGATAAAAAGACAGATAACGTCGAAGCTTAACGGTACCACGGTCTTTAATAATTCAGCCCCGGGGCCCGTTTAATACCGGGGCTCGGTACCCATCGCTACATACTTGTCCCCACAACTTATTCAGGCAACAAGTATAACTTAATTACAAGTACAAGAAATAGATCTGAAATGAAAAAGCAATCCAACCCCAGATTTAATCAGTTTTATTTGTACAGTGGTGATAATGAAAAGCTAATTTGAATGTGCTTTGGGAGATATCCGGAAGTGAGCTAGCAGTCACTGATGCACATCACAGCCTGTTCTGTCGGCTGGCAGCAGTTCATTGACGTTGGCCCAATGATGCATAAGAACCAGAAAGAGAGGTGTTGTGTGGGAACATGCAACAGCTCAGTGAAGTGTGTCGATGATTTCCCTTCCCACATCCTTCCAAGTATGACTGTGTTGCATCAGACAGCATTCAATCTAACCCTGTCATGTCTGACTTACGTGATGTTAATAATACCAACGCTACAATAACAGAACATTGAAAATGTCTGAAATATGATGAATAACATTGGGATTTTGTTATTTTTTGTTACACTTACTTATCAGGGTGTCCGCGGGGTCTTAAAAAGTTGATGAATCAATTTAGCGAAAATTAAGGCTATTAAAAAGTATTAAACGGCATTTTCCAAGGTATTACATTTTGTAGCTTGTTTTCAATAAGTATATGAATTGTCCAAAGAGGTTGTATTCTACAGTCTGCCGGAATGTAATCATTGCGTAGGTGTGTAGTGTGATTCTGTGTAGTTTATTTATGGCATCCCGTTGGATTTGAAGTCATCTGAACAGGACATCGCACGCTCACTGCTTGATAGCGCGCGAAGGTCCGTTTACGCCGGTTGTTAAACAACATCGTTATGGGGAAATGCAAGTTTGTGTCCAAATGATTGGAAGATAAGGAGGAAGGACAATCAATACTGTATATAGTCAATGTGAGGTAAAGTGTGTCGCCAAGGTAACCGGTTAAAACTCCAAGTGACGATGAGGTCTTAAAATGTATGGAAAGCGTCTTAAAAGGTCTTAAAAAGTATTACATTTGACTTCAGGATTCCTGCATATACCCTGATTATGTTATACATGTGACTGATAATTATCCTTCACTTCTTCACTAGACTAAACTTCATGTTACTTTTTATATACAAAATACAGAATGTAATTTAGAACTTAAGTTGACTTATGAAGTTTGAATCAAAACGGTTTTTTCCCCTAATGCTTTTTATAAAAGACAGCCAGGCACACAAGATCTTACATCAATACAGAAACCCACAGGACGGATACAGATACAACGGGACAGTCAAAAGTCAAAATCATGAATACAAAGATAAATATCTTGTTTTCAATTGCTGATTCTCTTTCATTTCACTTTCAGACAGTACTTGAAGTCATACGAGATGAAGACTGCCCTTCTATGATTGTGCCAAGCAGACCTTGTAAGTGAATCTGAATAACTGCACATTCACACATAGCTCATCATTTGTTTGCCAAGCCACTAAAAAGACCAAACATTTTTTTTCAAATGTATTTCAGTTCTTCAACGGTGCTTCCCCGATTTCATTACGAGAAACGGAACTTTAACTGTAGCCAACCAGACCAACTTCAAAGACGGTGACAATAACCACAGAAGTGTCAACGACCTTAAAGATGCTGCCAAGTAAGATCTCCTCCCCTCCAACACAATCCTTTATTTGTTGTTATTCAACCAGTTGTGTTGTTCAAACAGAAACGTCACGAACTTTAGATCGCCATGGGCCTTTTTGCTGTTGTAAAAGAATATTCATAAAAAATACCCTGCAAAATAAGTTGTTCTGAACTCTTAAACTGTCAATAGGGTTGCCAACTTTGCTCCCAGAGAGCTCTGGACAGAAATTACAGGGTAGGACAAGTGGGCATGTCACTGACGTCAATGATGCCCAGCAATGTGTCCAACCACATTCAAAATCATTTGCATGTTTATTGCATGAAAATGCAGCTAACTCACAAGTTCAAGAGGAGAACTTCAGGAGTACAAGCTTACAACAGCTGCTATGTAAATATACGCTATCAACATGCTAATTGGCTAAAATGGCTTCAAACTTTGGAGAAACAGAGAATTCATGTATTTAAACAAGTGAGCTGATATTATTTACATACATGATCCTGTTTGGCTATAATTCACTTTAGTTTTGCCTGAATGACCATGAAGGATAATGTGCTTTAATGCTTTTCTCTTTGTAGCCAAGTAACTGCCGTGCAGCAAGGAGAGGAAAGGTCTCAAGAAATGATTTATTTCAGCTTTTTAACTTTGCATCCGCTGTAGCCATTAGCTTTGTGTAGACTAACCCTTCCTATTCATCTTGAATAATCTGCCCCTGCTTCCTTCCACCTGCAGCAGTGAACATGAATTAGAACAGACTCATATACTTTTTTTGTGCAGGGACGTGCACGGAGGGGCTATTGCGCTAAATTGGAAAAAGGGCTTCCCCCTGAAAGAAAACATGAGACCTTTTGAAAATTATAACTTGTTTTTAATGTAAAAGAAACCAAACGATTATTACATCAACTAGATTGAACAGTAATTCGCATCTCATAACAAAATAAGCTAAGACTACTACTACTACTACTACTACTACTACTACTACTACTACTACTTCTGCTACTACTACTACTACTACTACTACTACTACTACTACTACTACTACTACTACTACTACTACTACTACTACTACTACTACTACTACTACTACTACTACTACTACTACTTCTGCTACTACTACTACTACTACTACTACTACTACTACTACTACTACTACTACTACTACTACTACTACTACTACTACTACTACTACTACTACTACTACTACTACTACTACTACTACTACTACTACTACTACTACTACTACTACCAGGGGCGCCGTAAGGGGGTGAAAAGTTAGGATGATTCTAAGGGCCCGTGACTGACAGGGGCCCCAAAACATTTTAGAACATTAAGAAAAAATGTTTCATCAATCATCAATAATTAACATTAATATAACGTCATATTGATGATGTACTCACTAAACTTATGATTCATTTAACTTATTTTCTTCCAAAAGTTAATTATCCAAACCATCGAACACCCCCCTCTATTTACATGTAATGGTTTGGTCCGGCCTCCAAACGCTGTGCAGCACCGGCCCTTTCTAGCAGAGAGACTAGTGAGAGCATGTGAGGAGGGATGCTAGTACTTACGTGTGTACGATGTCTCAACGACTAACAAAGTCAGGCTTTTAAGAAAGAAAAGAAAGGAGAGAAAGACAAGAGAGAGGGACTAAAGGGCGACAGTATGTCACCCAGTTTTTCAAAAGAAAAGGTGGGTGTGGTCCATGAGTGGTGGAAATTAGTCTGTTAGCTAAGCGTAGTCCATTGTAAATAATAATTGTAATATTTTGCTGACATTAAAGGTGGGGTAGGTAAGTTTGAGAAACCGGCTCGAGATACACTTTTTGTTATATTCCATGGAATGCTCTTAACATCCCGATAGCAATGAATATCTTAAGTGCTTTGACAAAAAATCCATTAAAAAATGTCATCTGTAGAAGCCGTAGTACTGTAAAAAGCACGACCAATCATTTGAGCCGGCCCGGCTAAAATAACTGGATGGCCTACCTGCCTGTCAGCCTTCCATCTGTGCACTAACTTATCTCGTGCCCTCATTGGTCATGTGCGCGTTCGTGTGTGTTGGGGAAGGGGCTCTGTAAGGAAGTGTCAGATTTTTTCCGGTTGTGTATTTTCAAATTCTTGCGCACTCGAGCTGGTTTCTCCAAAATTACCTACCCCACCTTTAAGTACTGTTAATATCTTCACAGAACATTCAGAGGTTTTTCATTTCACTCTTCTTTTAGTTGACATTTAATCAATGCAGGTACATTTTTAGCAGCTATTCATACTAAATCAGTTGTCCCTCCCCTGGTGCCAGGACCAACAGATCCATCTTTAGGCTCAGCAGCCCTGTCCCCCATAAGGCTTTGCAGTCTTGCCATGCTGTCCATTGAAAGCCAGTTGGCTAGAAAGCTGGACTTCAAGGACTTGATCAGTGACTTTGCCTGTAAGAAGGCTAGGCGCTGGGCTCTTGGTGAGTAAGGCTGAGCAAGGGCTCGTAATAACTGTTAAAGGACAAGGCTATGGTAACGATATTGGATCACTACACAGAAGATGCATGATGAGAAAAAGACTGAGAACAGGTAATAGGCTCTGATTTAGCACCACCATCAGGCCTTTTCACTTCCATTTCCGTTTTGTTGTCCGTTTACACTTTAATACCAGCTTATTTTGTAGGAGTTGGTATGTATATTTAATCTGCTGCTTATGTTATTTGTTTTTGTTATAGCATTTTATAAATGATAATATTGGTGTTAATGTTTATTTTAATTTAAGAGGTCATGTATATTTAAGTTATATTTATTTTGATTTTTGAATGTTCTATTCAAAAATTGTATTAAAAAGGCATGTACACCATAAAAGATGACTATTGAGGTCTATTGTTAGGAATGTTAGTGTTATATAAAATAGTGAATTCTACTGCAGTAGAATGTTGCACGTCCGCACAGTTATATTTTCACCGCTCAGTATCAGTAAATATTGTGCAGTTAGTATTGGACTACAAGATAGATGCAAGCCTGTACAGGTAGTTATTTAAAGCATAAATGAGTCGGTTGGGTTCTGGAGGTGTGGTTACAGCATTGTGCTTGGTTGGCGTGGCCTGGGGGTGGGGCCCAATGTGATATCTTTTCATGGGGCCCAAAATCCCTTACTACTACTACTACTACTACTAACTACTGACCGATCGACGAACTGACGACGACGACTACTACGACGACGACGACGACGACGACGGAACGGACGACGACGACGACGACGACGAAGACGACACGACGACGACTCACGACGAACGACGACGACGACGCCGACGCGACTACGACGACGACGACGACGAGACGTATCGACGACGACTACGACGACGACTACGACGACTACTACTACGTACTACTACTACGACTACTAACTACTACTACTACTACTACTACTACTATACTACTACTACTACTAACTACTACTACTACTACTACTACTACTACTACTACTACTACTACTACTACTACTACTAATATACTACTACTACTACTACTACTACTACTACTACTACTACTACTACTACTACTACTACTACTACAGCTTTTTCCCCCGATGCCATCAAACTGCTGAATATTAAGTAGACCAGTAACACAGAGATTACATTACGCTGTGTAAAGCGCACATATTTTCTATATAGTATGTCTATTTTATTTATATGTATAGTAAGTCTTTATATTTTAAACACACACTTTATCTTTAATTTTATCAGCACCACGTCACTATTATTTATTTATATGTACAATTTTAGCAAGTTTTTATATTGTCCTGTTCCTGTACACTCTGTGTCTTGTTGAAATGACAATAAAGTATGCCTAAGTCTACTAGCATTCAGTGACTTGATTTTAAAAATGAAAACCAGGGACATTTTTTGTTTTGCTGTCCATATCTCATTAAAATATCTAATGTTAGTAACCATTAAAGACAAAATGGGGACAATTCTGTTCTAATGTAGTTTGACCATCTGTGCAGACATACTGATAAAATAGGGCCTCTAACTAATTACCTTAAATAAACCCACTAATGAATGAAACCAGTTCAATATGCATTATTCTTATTCTTATCATTCTTAGACAACTCAAAATCAAGTTTCCAAAATCCGACACTGAGGTGGTCTTTAACGCACCGGCAGATGACAGCGCTGACAAAGTGTGTTTCCCGCAGCGAGACGCTACAATACTAATTGTGGGCTTATCATGTTGATTCGGCCACAACAGAAACAATAAAAACAAACTCTCGCTCTCTCCAGAGCGGCAGGTCAGCAAAAAAGGGCAACATTAGCCCGTACCTGTGCTCGTCCCTGGTTTTGTGGCATATATCTGAAAAGACATCCAGTCATCTACTACTTTGAGTGTCTATTAACATAGAGCGTGACGTAGTGCCCCCTAGTGGTGTATTTCCTTGATCTAGATATGAAGCTAGGTTTACATAACAGTGCTGGACACGATCCAAACTTGGGTCTATAGACAGGGTGACCTTTAGGGGAGCTGAATTAGAGCTCTCTAATATATGGTTGCTTTCAGCTCTGCTCTCACTGTTCTGTTTGTCCCATAGCAATGCTGGCTTGTCCTCTTTCTCTCCTCTGTCTGTACTTTACAGATGTATCTCATAGAGCACCGTGTCTGCGGTCACATTCTGCAGAAGTCATGTTCTGACGATGAGATTTGTGTAGTTATATTTCCCAGTGGAGATCTTGGCATCAAAGTCTGTTCCTGGTCTCCATTCCCAAGGTCCTTTGAGTACACTGATAGAATTGGACAAGAAATATGTTTGCTTTTATGCTGCATCATTTGTCTTTAAGTGGGATTGTGTCTTTGACCAGGGGAAGGTTAAAGGTGGGGTAGGTAATTCACTTCAGAAACACTTTTTGTTATATTCCATGGAATGCTCTTAACATCCCGATAGCAATGAATACATTAAGTGCTTTGACAATAAATACATACAAAAATGTCATCAGTGGAAGCCGTGGCGCTGTAAAAAGCACAACCAATCATTTTAGCCGGCCCGGCTAAAGTAACTGGATGGCCTACCTGCCTGTCAGCCTTCCATCTCGTGCACAAACTTATCTGGTGCCCTCATTGGTCATGTGCGCGTTCGTGTGTGTTGGAGGAGGGGCTCTGTAGGGAAGTCTGAAGGAAGGGGCAGATTTTTTTCTGTTGTATACTTTCAAATTCTAGCGCACTCGAGCTGGTTTCTCCATTCTTACCTACCCTACCTTTAAGCAAAGTGTCCAAGATCATTTAGGGTTTTTTTTAAATAAGAATATATTCAGGTGACAAGTAAAGCATATTCTAAAACAATACTATTTATATTGAGTCTTTTATGTTAAGAATTTCACTTATTATGTTTTCATTGGTTATCAAAGACTTACCTGAACTCTGAAAAGAAATGAGCAGGTTTTTGATTGGCAACATCCTCTGTCCTCCTCTATATCACATCCAGTAACATGCTGCTAAACCATTTGCCACCATACTGAAGGAACTATTGATCCATAGCGCTTTAGTCACACTAATTCAGTTTTGTGGCTCTTTGATATAAAACTTACAATATGTTTCTCCAGACCCTCATAACAAGTAGGCTGAAAAACCAAAAGCATTTTGAAACTGTATTCATCTTTGTTTCATAATAAGCACATTATAGATAAATAAAGTGTCAAAATGTTTTTGAAGAGAAACCTTTGTAAATAAATGATCAGAGGCAGAAACACAACGCTGTCACAGTCTCTCTTTATCTCTTCATTCATAATAATGTTTTTGTTCTCTTTTCTTTCCAACTCTTTCCCATCTCACCTTGTTGCTCCCTCACAGAGGTATCGCCAGTCTGCTCAATGCCAATGAAGTCGGCATTAAGATCTTTGAAGATTATGCTAATTCCTGGGACTGGATCCTCATGTAAGATTTTGCTTTTGTTGATTTTCACGTTTTACTTCTACTGATGAATGATGTGCTCCTTTTGCGGGTCTGTGGATCTATCCGTAAAATAAATTATGAAACTAAATCATTAACAATTTGACCCTATAACTATACACAGAAACTCCAACTGACCGGCTTGGAATTTACAAAAGTAGGCAAAAAATAGCACTTGATGAATTCCTATTTACAGAACATCTTTCTGAATGTATGTTAAAGTCCAAATAAATGTATTTACTAGTCAAATATTGCTTTATACCAGAGTTCCCGTTAGAAAAATGTCCGGTCAAAATAATTTCCCCTTAGCGCAATACCGCATCAGTTGCGCCACTTATGTGACAGACAAGAAGAGTATGTGACAGACAAGAATAAGTCAATTCTAATGTCTAACACGTAATGTGGAGAAAGAGATGTCCTGTATGGGTTGATTGTGCGTTGATCTGTTGGTAATGCCTCGGGGTTCCGGTGGGCATGTAAACAAATGTAAAATGCTGCGCTATACTTTGCGGCCTCACCCGGTTGCATAGCGAGGCTTATTGTTTAGGTGCAGTGGTGTAGTGGGGATTTTTTTGACGGGTGGGGGGGGGGGGCCACTATGCACGCGCTCGTGAACTGTCAACGGGGGGGGGGGGTTCACTGTGTGTGGACCTCTGTGTCGCCTGTCAGCGCAACTTACATGATGCCGTTTAGACAATATAATAATAAAGGGCGGTGCCGGCTGTCAACGAACCGATCCAGCCTTTCTGCGCGACTGTCACTCAAATGCATAGTCTCAATTTGTGGGACGCGGGACAAATAATAAAAATGCTGTCTGTGTGTGCAGTCCCGCACAGTCAGGGACACCTGGTCACCCTACACACACACGGTGCTGCCCCTCACACACACACACACACACACACACACACACACACACACCACACACACACACACACACACACACACACACCACACACACACACACACACACACACACACACACACACACACACACACCACACACACACACACACACACTTCAAATCAAGTTGCATAAATGCTTGAGCTACGTGTTTATTATAATTACTGTGAAATCTGCCTATTATGTTTTCGTCATTATTACAACAAATACACACTTGCAACTGATAACACTAGCAATGATTTTATATTTATTAGACTATTAAAAAAAAATCATGCTTCAAATAAGTGGGGGTACGGCGTACCCCCGCGTCCAATGCCCACTACACCACTGTTTAGGTGTCTTTCGATAAGCAGGTAGTCCTATCATTAGCTAGAACTAGCTAGATCTGATCGATATGGACATAAACGCGAGTAAAGTCTAATCTGACGGGAGAGAGAGATCAGCTGCTGCTGACGAGTGGACACGCAGCTCTGCATGATCACATGCAGCGGTGAGCGGAGCAAAACACACACCAGGTTAGAATATCACACGTAGCTATTTTAATGACCTCTCAAACTACCTAAACTAGTTATAGATATGTTTAGTTTTACTGTCGGGTCACTCATTACTGATCCGCGAGCTGCATGATACTGACGGGCTGTCAGGAGAGGGAGAGCGCTCCGTTTATTATTGCCCTGTTATTGTAAGTTACTGTACACGTTTGAATAGTTAATCTACTATAATTATTTTTTTAATATCGAATCATATCAATTTGTTTTAAAGCTCAATAAATAACAAAGAAGACCTTTGACCGGCACTTTTCTAATTTTGTCCGGAAGATTTAAACTTTAACGGACATTTTGACCGGCAAAAAAATATTCGAACGGGAACTCTGCCTTCTACATTATGTATGTGTTTGTGTTGTTTCAGAGGTCTGGTGATTACCATGGTGGTCAGTCTGATCTTTATCCTGCTGCTGCGCTACACTGCTGGGGTGCTCCTGTGGCTCATTATCATTAGTGTCATCACTGTGATCGGCTTTGGTGAGTATTCACTTCAGACAGTAACCCCTCATCACCTTTTGCTACCTTATACTCAGTACACATGTTGGAGTTGTTCTCCACATGTTTACATTTTAATTCCTAACTTCTGTTGTCATGGCAAACTGTGGCAGATTTAGATTTCTGCTCACATGGTTTCATCTGTTGTTCCTGGCTCTCATTCTTTCTCTCTGCATCTCTCAGGTATCTGGCACTGCTACTGGGAGTACAGCAATCTGACCAGGAAGCCAGGTGCTAATGTCACCATCTCTGACATCGGCTTCCAAACAGACTTCAGCATTTACCTTCAGCTCAGCCAAACGTGGCTCGTCTTCAGTATGTTGTCACCTAGCTTCCGCACATTTACATAAAAACGTTAAACTGTGAAACCCTAATCCACAGTACAATGCTTGTTTTTCTCAGCCATATTTACATTACATGACATTTAGCTGACTCTTTTATCCAAAGTGACATACATACAGAATACCATAGACATGCCTACAGGAGCAATGTTGGCTTAAGTATATTACCATAGTACACTTCAACATGTTGTCTACAGGGGCTAGGGACTACTTACCGTCTGCTCCTCACATTTTTAATGGGAAATGAAACCTTCTGCAGCGACTACTGTAATACAGTAGTATACTGTACAGGGTTCCTACGCTCATTCAAAACCTGGAAAAGTCATGGAAATTCAAAATGCAAATTCCAGGCCCTGGAAAAGTTATGGAAAACAATATTTTTCCCAGAGTTTTGGAAAAGTCATGGAAATGTAACCAAAGTTGCATCAAATATAATTTATATTTTATCTAATTGCCGAAATAGTAATACTATAAGGATAATAAATACTGTATAGTAATGAAACTTAAAATGGCATTTAACTGTCGAGGTATTTTGCTGGTGAGATATTTTTACAATCACGCCCTCTAGTCTACAGTGCTTTAGTCTGTAGGAGCTAGTAAGCCTATTTGATTTGATTTGTTTTAGATAGGCACAACATGTTTCATATGCAGACCTTATTTTCAGCTTACCATGTTAAAATAAAAATGTTTCAGTGGTACCGCTGAGAAAGAGTAATTTTTTTGGTCATGGAAAATTAGGTAAAGGTCATGGAGAAGTCATGGAAAATCATTGGTGAAAAAGTGTATGAACCCTGACTGTAAATAGGTTAGGAAATTAGGACTTAGGAAAGATTGTTACTATTGTTTTGTGGCTTATTTCTTAAAAACATCCAGTCATCTACTACTTGATGTGTCCAAAAACATAGAGAATGAGGTAGTGCCCCCTGGTGGTCATGGGGATGGCTACCTTGATCAAGATATTATTAGAAGTTTACATAACAGTGCTGGATATGATCCAAACGTGTGTTGGATTCAATATTTAACCATTTAAAGGTGGGGTGGGTAATTTTGTTATATTCCATGGAATGCTCTTAACATCCCGATAGCAATGAATATATTAAATGCTTTGACAATAAATACATTAAAAAATGTCATCTGTGGAAGCCGTGGCGCTGTAAAAAGCACGACCAATCATCTGAGCCGGCCCGGCTAAAATAACTGGATGGCCTACCCATAGATGTATAAACACTAGATGACTCACCCGCGCTCAGTGGCGGCGCCAGAGTAGTTTTGTTGGGTAATCTATGGCAGGGCTAACCCATACAGTGGTGGGGCTCAAGTCAGTATTTGCAATGTAATTACATACACGCTATATCGCCCGCCTTGACAGTGAAACGCCACGCGTGAGGTTTAGATTATTTCCCTGTCTCAATCCAAATTGAACTGTATGAAATAAAAAGGCACATTTGTCTTGTAGTAAATAAAAACGGCGACCTGGAGCCAATCCTGCAATTTACCCACAGGTGAAAGAGTTGACGTTCTGAAAACCCAACCCCTGCAGGAGATTTTTTGAAATACTAACATCAAATACACATTCTGGTACTCTCTTGAGAAGAAAAATAAATAAATCTATTACTACACGACATATTTAAAACAAATGAATGCCATTTTAGTTTGTTGTTACTTTGTTCTTAAAGCTGAACCTGCTGCTCCTCAGAGAGAAGAGGGAAGAGGCTGTGAATTACTTTACATTGAGGATAAGGGTGGATAGCCCCCATTGTTCTGTGTGTCAAAATGAAAGACAGCCCACACACCTATCAATCATCAAACCGTGGGGTCTTATTTCATTACGTGTTGATTTCTATCAACACGTAATGTTGTATCGATGTAGAGATGTACTACCGCAAAAGTATTCTCCGTCGGGACTTCCTGCAACAACACCGTGCCGTTATCGTGATTCTGATTGGCCAGAAGATATTATCAAAGATGTTTTATTGAGAAGACGATCACTACGTGACAAAAGTTTTCAAAACCGTTTCTGGTCTTCGGTATTTCCAGACAAGTGGCTACTGAAATCAATCTTACTAACTGCCGTCTGTGCAATTTACTCCACGCGAGTTGGCAGACTTTATTTTGCTTACTTTAACATAATTTGTCATGGTGGGGCTAAGCCATTTCTTGGTATGGCTGTAGCCTACCCCAGCCATACCCTGGCGCCGCCACTGCCCGCGCTGCTGGCCAATGGAGACCGACGTTGCCACATGGCGGCCATCTTGCCACAGGCAGCTCACTCATTCATAACATTATGCATATGGTGCACTATTGAAATAACCGTAGATTGCTCAATTTTCTACCAATTTTCAAACGGTTTGGTTCGTTATAAACATCAAAGATGTAGTTATGATACTGCATACGTATAATTATAATCATTAACTTTTTTTTTTCAACATGTCTTGTTGTCTCCTGTATCATAGCCATGATAATAACGTTTATAATAAACCAAACCGTTTGTAAATCATTCAAGATTTCAGCGAGTTAAGAGTATTTTTGTGCAGATCACTCACCTCACAACAGCTGCATCGTGCAGCTGTAGCAGTAGTTGTTGACTGTGGCAAGATGGCCGCCGGTGAGCTACACTGGCGACTCCCCCTTGAGCCATCTAGTGTTTATATATATCTATGGGCCTACCTGCCTGTCAGCCTTCCATCTGTGCACAAACTTATCTCGTGCCCTCATTGGTCATGTGCGCGTTCGTGTGTGTTGGAGGAGGGGCTCTGTAAGGAAGTCTGAAGGAAGAGGCAGATTTGTTCCGGTTGTGTACTTTCAAATTCTAGCGCACTCGAGCTGGTTTCTCCATTCTTACCTACCCTACCTTTAAATGTGCTATAGACAGAGTTGCAGTGGCTTTCAGGGAGCTGAATTAGAGCTCTCTAATATGCGGTTGCTTTCAGCTCTGCACTCTGTGTTCTGTTTGTCCCATAGCTATGATGGCTTGTCCTCTTGCTCACCTCTGTCTGTACCTAACATAGGGCATGTCTGCTGTCAAACTTGGTGTGTGCATTGACTAATAATATAACCTATTATTTGTTTTGTAGTGATCTCACTTTCTGTGATTGAGGCCGTTATTGTGATTATACTGATATTTCTGAGGACGAGGCTGCGCATCGCTATTGCATTAATGAAGGAGGGAAGCAAGTACGTATGAACAAAACCTCTGTTGTGTCCTTCAACATAAAAAACATTTGACAGTTTTTTTCACACAATTAAAAAATGTTTTGATCTTTCTTACAACTAGGGCCATCAGCTACGTCATGTCCAGTCTCTTTTACCCCATCATCACCTTTCTCCTCCTGGCCATCTGCATTGCTTACTGGGCCGTCACAGCAGTGTATCCTTCTAAACCAGTGCTTCTCAAAGTGTGGTCCGCGGACCACTGGTGGTCCGTGAGCGCCCCCTAGTGGTCCGTGAGTATATTGGTAACATTTCACATTTGAAATTAATTAATCAATTTATGTTTTCCGCACTCTCGCGGGAATATCTCCACAATGGAGCAAGGTTAAGTTTAACTTTTCATTGCATGATATAGCCCAGCACAACACCTTCATCACACATGTTTCCACTTGTTTGTACCATTTTCAGGCGATTTGTAATCTGTTCTAGAAAAACGATGTGTTTTTTGATGTTTGTGGAGTTAGGTGGTCCGCGAGTGTTTATTTATTGGTTAAGTGGTCCTTGGTATGAAAAAGTTTGAGAAACACTGTTCTAAACTGTTGGTGATTTGATGAACTGTTTCCCCCAGAGACTTCTGTGTGTGCAGTCTGCGTTAATGATAATGTATAAAAAAAACATGTCACTAAACAGATCACGCACTGCTATAGATGATGCAGTTTTAGAAAATTGTGCTTATTTCCCCTTGTGCTTTTTTCCCCTTGTGATTTATGTTTTTAAAAGCAAGAGCAATATGGAAACATCTTGTGTCATTAGACATAGATCTTACACTGTAAAGTCTGGATGCACAAGATGGATTATTGTATGTCAAATATATAGAAAGTACTAATAAATATTCCATCTGTGTTGCCCTTAACTAGTTTTCCCTCAGCTTCTTAGCATCATCTGGTAATGCAGTCTACAAGGTCACACCTGCTGACGATAAATGCATGTATGCCAATCTCACATGCAGCCCAAACGTTAGTCCCTCACTCTCTAACGTCCATTTACTGGAAAATCACTGGTGTAACTGTTATTTTTGTTAATGTGTAATATCTCTGCCACTTCTATCTCCATCAAATATGTCTTGGTCAGACTGTAATCAATCAGAGCAAATGTAATAGCTTCTTATAATTGCCTACAAGTGAAATCTGATAGCTGGCAGTGAGCTTGAAGAATCAATCTCTAAGGCTCTAATGTAAATAGAGTTAGTCAGTGACGGCTTTGAACAATTTAATTTGACACATGTTATTCATCATCCTGCCTACTTGGTGTGTGTGGGATATTGTGAGAGTCAACAAAAATGTATGATTGATGTGGTCACACAAGCTTTAATAAAGGCAGGATTACCTCAAAGAGATACATTCACAGATTATTCAGTAGCATGCAAAACAGAGGAGATAAAAAAGTGTATTTGAGTAGTTTGCCTTTTTATGAATTGGATGCAACTGAAACAATAAGGCAAATCACATTATTAAGTTCAAATTGTGTTGCATCTTTTCAGACCTTCAGTGAGACCAATGTTAGCAAAGTGTGCCCCGGAGCCCAATGCATGTTTGCCTTCTACGGTGGGGAGACCGTGTACCACCGCTACATCCTGGTGCTCCACCTGTGTAACCTGTTCATGTTCCTCTGGCTGGTCAACTTCACCATCGCTCTGGGACAGTGCACCCTGGCCGGGGCCTTCGCGTCCTACTACTGGGCCCTGAAGAAGCCCGACGACATCCCAGTGAGCCCCCTCTACTCCTCCTTCAGCCGAGCCATACGGTACGGAGCTGTTACAGGTCACCTTTGTACAATTTTCCACTGCTGTAAAAATATTTCTTTACCCCAAACATTTGAATTAGTAACATTTGGGATTCACCTGCTTTAGTTAATATAACAAAATCAGTCATGTCATTTAAAAAATGAAAATATTCGTTGTGGCCAAACGGCGGTATTACACTTCAGTATCAGTCACTGGGCCCGGAAATACTTTTTCCCATTGACTAACATTGGGAAAGAGACGTCTGTAAATAGTTGGATCATTTTTTTTAAACTAAATAAACTACCCAGTATGAACATTTGTATAGCCCTTATTAAAAACATTCGGTCCTCAAGTTGTAAAATGTGCTACTAACGTTATTCTGAGAGTTCTTTTTCTCTGCATTATGAACGCGGATCTAACCCACGGGACCTCCCGGCACGTTCATGTGAAGTGTTCAGTACTACATGAGTTTTACCTTTACCCATGGATGCAAAATAAGAACAGATTATATGATTATATGAATACTTTCGTGACGTTTCGCTCTCTCAAAAGTTGGGCCATTTTGTCTTCATGCGCCAATGAGCAACTCTCATAGGAATGAACGAGGCCCCGCCTCCCACGCTGTATCCAGTTCTTATTATACATCCATGATTGAAACTACTAAGATTTGAATGGAAATGTGTTTTATACTATTCGGTTTTCTGGTGTCTTAGCTATCACACAGGTTCTCTTGCCTTCGGTTCTCTGATCCTCGCTGTGGTGCAGATGATCCGGATGGTTCTCGAGTATTTGAATACCAAACTGAAAGGTAAGCTGTCTAACTTAAAAATACTAACCTTTCTAAAATAATCAAATGTCCATGTCAAATGGGGTGTTGATGATCAATAATGTTTTTCCAGGTTCTGAAAACGCATGTGCTCGATTCTTGCTTTGCTGTCTCCAATGCTGCTTCTGGTGCCTGGAGAACTTCATCAGGTTCATGAACAGAAATGCATACATCATGGTGAGTTAAGAAACACCTGCTTCGGACCGATTTACTGCAAGATTCCATTTAATTTTACACTTGAATAACCTGTAACCTGGCTCAATGTGTTATTACTTTACTTTTGTCTCATCAACAGATAGCAATATATGGAAAGAACTTCTGCACCTCTTCCAAGGATGCTTTCTTCCTTTTGATGAGGAACATTATTCGGTAAGGCCTTTCTTATAGTTCTGTGTAAGATCTATTGTACTGATGAACTGCTGTTGAGACAATCTCCGTTAACATGTCAGACCAAGGAAAAGAAAATATATTTAGATTATAAAACAACAAAAATGGTGTGTATTCACTGTGTAAGTTAGTGAAACAATCAAGTAATCCGTGTTTCAAGCAGCTGCACATTATTCCTAATTACCCTACTTATCATGTCGTTATTTTGGGTGCACTCTACGTGTCTGTGCATGACATTAACTTGTCTTTTTCCTTGTGTCTGTGTCTCTCCACCACTTTGTTCTCTCTGTGTCCTCTGCAGGGTGGCTGTCCTGGACAAGGTGACAGACTTTCTGCTTTTCTTGGGAAAACTGCTTATTTCAGGAAGTGTTGGTGAGTTGCATGTCACCTGCAGTTTGTGAAGTGACAGACAGAGTGAGATATCGATAGTTACGTCTGTAACTACGGTTCTATGAGTCCTGGATGACCGCAAGCAGTGTTTCCGCCAGACCAGGGCTCAGAGGGCGTCGACAGCGGGGGTGCTTGAATTTTTACTTGAGCTGTCCCTTATAGATACTGTCTTTTTACGTTAGTGAGCCGGATCATTTGGCTCGGCTCTCTTAAAGCGTCGGCTGTTTCGGCTCCCAAACGGCTCTTCATGTTACCACAGTTTACCACGAAGCCTCAGTTTCACCGCTGCGAGGCTCTGGTGCCCGCAGCTCACGCGCGAGCTCCACTAGCACCGCTCATCGCGTCCGAATCGTGCACGTTCTGTGTAGTCCTGTAGCAGGCACCGCCGATGTCGGGGAAACGATCTTCAATACTCCGAAAATAATCCCACCAGACTCCTTTGCCCCTCCAACAGAGGGATGTCCTTGTCCTTTTTCCTTTTCGTTATTTCAAGCAATAAAAACTCTCGATCTTCTCTCGAATTATTAACATTCTCTCAGGGCAGCCCGAGATGTTGAGATGCTCCTTGTAGAGTGGCATCTCAGCCCTGATGGCAGTGGGCGGCCACTGGCCCCATAGGCATGTGAGATGGCATCGACAACCTAGTGGGACAGCCGCTGTTTAGAGAGAGCACGACCCTTCCTAGTGCCGCCATGACAAACGAAGAGCTGCTCTGACCGCCGTATACAGGCCGTAGCAGGACCTTCACGCCCTGCGCCCTGCAGGGGTGCGAGAGCTGCCGCCATGACCCTGGTGAATACCCTTGGAGAGGGAGAGACCAAAGGGAAGCACCCGGAACTGATAGTGTCGGCCCTGAAAGGCAAACCTCAAGAACTTCCGGTGGTGGGATGCATTTGGCACGTGGAAGTAGGCGTCCCTCAAGTCCTCGGTTGTGAACCACTCCCCCTGTGCAACAACACGAAGGGTGTATGCTATGGTTAGCATATGGAAGGGCAGCACCTTCAGGAATCTGTTGATTCCTCTGAGGTCCAAGACTGGACGGAATCCGCAGACTTTCTTGCTCACAAGAAAGTAAGCCGACTAGAACCCCCCGGACTGAAGCAGAGGGTCTACTGTCTTGATTGCGTCCTTGGCCAACAGGACGGACAACTCTTGGGCCAGAGCTAAGGCCTTCGCCGGATCGCTGACAACTGTCATTTTGACCCGGCCGAAGGCTAGGAACTGCAGTTTGTACCCCTGGGTTAAGGTGGAAACCACCTGAGGGTCGGAAGTACAGACAGCCCAGTAACTGGGCTGCTGCTGGGAAAGCAGCCGACGACTGGCCCCGAGACGTCGGGGCCTAGCCCCCTGGCCTCCGGAGCCCCCTGGTAAGGTAAGGCTCTGAGGCACGAGGCTGCCTAGAAGGCGGGGACCTCCGCAGACCACCACTGTAAGCTGGTGGCTGAGTGTAGCTGCTAGAGGGGCCCCTGGGCCTGCTGGGAGTGGGCACAGGCCTATGAAGACCCGAGAGCTGCTGCCTGGTCCGCCTAGCTTGGGCAGCACGCTCCAGTGCCTCCAGGGCAGCTGCCCCAAACAGCTCCCCTGGCTCGACTGGCACACTAAGGAGGACATGTCTCCGACAGTGGTGACTGAGCAGGCCAAACCTGGCGACGAGTCTGCACCTATAAGGACATAACTCGTCCCAATTTCCTAGACATTAGGGCAAAGGTTTGCAGTGATGCATTACTGAGGCCCAGCAAAGAAGGCTCAGCCGGAGCCTGCTGCGGAGAGGTAAAGACAGCCAGCATCAGATGGGAGAGGGAATTCCCGTTACGACCCATGCGTGCCGCTGTGTCGTAGGCCTTACAGAGCAGCTCGTCTGTGACCCTGCACTGAGGCCGAGGGCACCTGGCATCGGGCCTTGGAGCCTCATCAGGAGCCAGAACCGGGGAGGTGATGGCAGGCTCAATGGATGGCAAGCAACCCAGCCCCACCCTCGCCGGATCCTGCATGGCAGCAGAGTGGGAGAGGTCCCTGGTGTTTCTCCAGCATGCATGGAGCTCCCTCAGGTACTCCTCTGAAGGAAGAACAGTGAGAGTGACAGGGGCTGGGTTATGCCTGAAGAAGGCGCTAGCCTGAGCCGAGTCGGCCTGCGGAACCTGAAGCTGCAAACGTGCCGAATAATGGCCGCCATGGAGGCGTCCTCCATGCCCTGCTGAGAGCTCTGAGCAAAGGAGTGGGAAGCCTCCTTGGGAGTGAGCGGGGCCCCGTCCTCCACCCCTTCATTGAAGAGGTTTAGCCAAAGCCGCTAGCGACATGGCATCCTCAAGCAGAAGTGCGGCAACCAAAGGAGGGCTAGGCGGCAAGCTAGTAACCCCCACACCGGCCCCTGGCTGAAGGGCCAAGAGGAGCGACTTCGTCTGCTCCATGACGGCAGCTAACCGATCCACCTTAGAGGACAGCTTGTTTCTAGTCCTTTACTACCTGGGGGGTGAACCCATAGCCATCACTCCATCAAGTCGCCGGGAACGGCCAGACTGAGCTGGAGGAAGTTGTGACGAGGAGAGGTGTCCGTTGGCTGATGCCAGACGCTCCACCTCTAGCCACTCTGAGCGCCCGAGGCATGAAGCTACAGTTCATGTAGGCGCTCTGCGTGAGACCCTCCCTCAGATGCTCGAGGCCAAGGCAAGAGGGGCAGCGGTCATGGCCGTCCTTGGGCTCAAGAGAAGCCATACAGGCGCTACATGAATGAGCCATTCTGTACCTGTACCATCTCGTCTACCAGGAGCGGGGGCGAAAACACTGCCTTCACTGGTTGAGTTAAGAACGAATGCCAGATGCAGCGTAACCGTGAGCGGGTGCGAGAACACAGCCTTCACCAGTTACCTGCTGAACGGAAAGAGTAGAGCAATGCTCCTACTCGCCGAACACAAAGAGGGATGTAAATGCCCTACACCCACGTTACCAGCAGAGGGAGCGAGAGCACTGCCTTCACCTAGCTGGATTAAATAAAGAAGCTTAACAAGACAGTTTAGCCAGGCGGCTGCTGCTAGAATCAAGCAACACGTCCACCAGGAGCGGGGGCGAGAACACTGCCTTCACTGGTTGAGTTAATTACGAAAACACAAAGCTAAGACCAGAAAGCTGGCTTCTAAAGAAAAAACAGCACGGGTAACTCCGGTGCTTATCCCAGCGTCAAAGTGGCTGCCCAGGCAGGACACAGTTAGGCTGAGCCACGCTACTGCTAACTAGCTAAACAAGAAAATGCAGCTAAGCCGAAAACTCAAAATGCTAATGATTGCTTGGCACAACGCCACGGTCAGAAAAAGTTTACAAAAGAGCACAACAAGGGCAACTCCTGGGAGAGGGAGCGGAAACGCTGCCGTCACCAAAAAGTTCAAGCCAAATAGCAAACAAGACAGTAATCAGGACAACTTAGCTGGGAGAGAGAGCGGAAACACTGCCATCACCGACCAAGCCGACACCAACCTGTCCGATCGAAGTTTCTGCGCAGCCGGCCACAGCTCCTGGAGAACGAGTAAGCCTGCGGCTCCGACTGGGTTAGTCGTGAAGCTGCACGCAGCCAGCTGTTTATATCTGCCATACTCTATTTCTGTTCAGTTTGTCATTATAAGTTAAAATTGACAGTTGCACAGGTCGTCTGCCGGTCAGTGAAAATAAGTAAATCTCTGACATTCAATTTAAGAAGGCCTTAAATTCAATTTAAATTATGAAATAATAATTTAAACATTAATCAACATGAATCCTAGTTATTTTATACCACTCGTCTATGTCCAGATTTAGTGATCTGATTGTTCCAGAACAAATATGTGTGTTTGTAGGCCCTTAATATTTCCCCTATTAGAGGTATTTGTGCTGCTGCAAGCGTCTTGGACAATTAGTCTAAAATCCCTTAAATGTTTATGTTTGTTCATAAAATATTGAGTATTGTTGAGTATCACTTTAAAGATTTGACAAGAAAATGTACTCTACTTTTTTGCAGGTGTTCTTGCATTTTTCTTCTTCACACGTAAAATACCAGTCATTCAAGAGGAGGTGCCGTCCCTAAATTACTACTGGGTCCCCCTTGTGGTAAGGCATTTAAATGTTTTAATGAGTAATCATACCAGCAATAACAACTGATATATTTCACTGATGTGTGGCATAGATCGATGTTCACTGAGTTTTAAACTTGCTAGACTGCATTTATATTCATTTTATTAATTTAGTTCAGATTGCGTTATTGCACAGGGTATTTGCTTTTGTTAAAATATGTATGACTCAGTGGTCCGTATTACCCTGATGTTCCTGGTGTTTGTTGGAATGCCTTATAAAGCAGAATTGCATAACAATGTTGACAACGTAGCGTACTGACTACGTCCGTATGATCTTTTCAGACGGTGATATTTGGATCCTACATGATTGCGCATGGATTTTTTAATGTCTATGCCATGTGCGTGGACACGTTGTTCCTGTGCTTTTGTAAGTATGCTGTTTGTTTTTTTAGAGCTTTGCATGACATAGTGCGGGAATATGACTACATGAAATAAGCGCTGCTATGATGGTTAAATGTCAAGTAGCCTGTCAGCAGCTGAATGCAACTCTTTCCCTCTTTAAAACTGGCTCTTATAACAACTGAAACTGATTCTTGCTCATTCAGTTCTAATTCTTGCATGTTCTTTTCAATTATTTCTCTCTACTAAGTCTTTGCTTTGCTTTTTCTGTCTGTCTGTCACTGTCTGCTCCTCCTGCTCCTCCTGCTCCTCCTCCTCTCCCGTGCTGGGACCTGGTCTCAGGTGAAGACCTGGAGAGGAATGATGGTTCTTCCTTCAGGCCCTACTACATGTCTCCTGGCCTGCACAAGATCCTGCGCAAAGGAGAGGAGGGTTCCAAATCATGCGCTGCCTCTTGAGCGATGTGCGGCCATTTTTACTAAACTGCTGACTCTCACTCACTTCTCCATATCTTCTGTATGTGTGGGGGTCTGGACGTTTGAGAGCAAGTACTGTAGGGCTAAACATAAAAACTGGATGCATCCCAGCCTGGTCAGGGATGGCCTGGACATGAAAGGACATGCTTTCACTTCAGTTCCACCCAGAAAAGGCACGGCGGACTAAAGAAGACCAGTTTACTTAGTCTCTCGAGCCAACTCAGATACTTGCCTTTTTTTCTGCCACGCCTATTTTCTTTTTCTTCTCTGTATTCTCTGCTGACCTCTGCCTTACTGAGAGGGTACATGTTAACTCGCAGGACTAACGCATAGGCCGATATAAATAAAATATGAACATTTTCCCCCCAAACGAACATAAGGACCTTAAGATGTACAGATGCCCCTGATAGACTATGGCATAAGGCTTCACCATGACAACGTGGTGGAGTTATGGGACACCCTCTTGTCGCACTTTGGTCCTCTAGTGTAAAATCATGTTTTGTATGCACTTTCACATATGGGAAAAGAACCATGTGTTTTATTTCTTCTGTCAAGCATGATTATGTTGCTGGCTGTGGATGTTTACCATTGATTTTATAGGTTGCTTTGTTCCACCGTATTTATATATCACAAATGCACAGATCCAAAAATGGTGTATAATTCTGCACTAGGAAAAACAGGTTATTTTACACCATTTAAGAAAAAGGTTGCAATCATTTCCAAGTTTCCATTATGCTCATAGATGTACTGTAAACAAGACGGAGACTGTGTGGGAGGTCAAGACTTCAAAAGACATTCATGGTTTAAAAAAATGTATTTGAACAAAACCTGAGAGTTTTCAGGAAGCATTTGAATGCAGCCACTAGTTCATGTGCCTAGTTGTGAGAAAAAAAATGTTCCTCTTATTCTGTGGTTATAGACCTGACACAAGGAACCTTTTGCGATACAGTTTATAAAAGGATGTCAAAGCCATTTTTGGTAACTTTTTTATTGGTATGGTTCAGATGTATTGCTGTTTTAATACTAAGTATAATACACGCATCTATCTGGAGGTTATTCAGTGGTTTCTTTGTGTAGAAGAATTTTTTTTATCAATGAAAATGTGAATACATTTTTTTGAATAAAAATAAATGGTTTAAGTATTGTCCAGTGCGATTTCCATTGCAGTTTTTAACATTTTGCTACTGCTGCCTCCTAGTGTGGGATCTGGAGGCGCACGACGGCTCTCCTCTCCGGCCCTACTACATGACCAAATCCCTGAAGAAAATCCTCAAGAAGAAAAACGTAGAGACGCCGAGAGAATGAAGTAGAGAAAAGACAAAGGTGGGGGAAGGAGAAAAGCTCAAGTTAATTCGCCAAAGCATGGTACCATGTGGCAATAAAGACTTTGCCAAATATAATTTAAGTGTTCACAAGTTGCAGCCGTACACTCTAATTTACAAAATGTTGCAACTTTAATAATTAGATCCAATCACATGCTCCTAAAGTATGATGCGTAATGTTTTTTGATATTTAACTTCAAAAGTCAGTTTGTTGTTTTTATATTCAACGGTGTACAAGCAACACCAAGTTCTTGTAAATATTCATATTTTTTATTTTATAGTTTTAACTGATATATATATATGGGTGTGTTTGTTACAGCCACAGTCATACTGTCGTTCCTATTGGAATGAGTGATTTCTTTCTTTATTGAGATTGTGCTAAGCATCAGCAGTTGTTGTTCTTATAACTCTTGTAGTTGCCGGTTCCCACCACTGGATGGCGCCACTCATTAACGTGTGTTATGTATACTGTTGTTGTGGTGCTGGTAATTGAACTAGTTTTTCCATGAAATGGTTAAACGTCAGCTCGTCTATGTATTGTGTTATCACATGTTTTTTTTACCTCAATTTGTCTCACATTGAGAATTATATTAAGTTAAGTGTCCACTGTTTTCATCTTTAACTGTCAAGGACATCATTTGTAGAATTGCCACATTGAGTGTCTAATTGCATCTTGCAGCTACATTAATTTTATTTTAAGATGCTTTCCTGACATTCATAAAAGAAAATAGAGTGATAGTCGGCAGCAGCAGTTGTTGTTGGAATAAAAGGTGAAGTCGAAGGATATTCTGTGTTTGGAGCTTTGAAAGCATGTTGCATACCTTCAAAAAAGTCAGAGGTTTTTCTCGGCTGCATCGTGTGTCAGACTAGCCTAGAACGCAGAACCTTACACGTGTTCTTAGATGTTTAACATATCTATTATAGGCGTCTATTTGTGGGACGCCACCAACATTGTCTCGTCTTAAAGAGTCCCTCTTAAAAAATGCTTTAAAAAGTGTCATACTCACAATGCACAACAATATTACTAATTTTCAACAGCATAAAACATAAACCTGCAGTTGAACCCACTTCTCTGATGAAGCAAGAAGCTTCAAACTTTGCTTCCATCAAAAAAGATGTAGGTAGAGTATCCCCTTGATTATAGAACAAAACATAATACCAACATTTCATGATGGAGTTATGAACGTCATTGTACAGTGTTGAATCCTTTTGTTTCTTGTTTCTGTTGGTCCAAATTGGAGCTTACCTCAAATAGTATTAGTGAGTTAAATTCAGGCAGTAGTCAGGCAGAACTTCTTATTTTTTTAAAGATGGTTTTAAAAGACAACTTGCCCTATATTTTACATTGACTGCTTTCTGAAGTATAAGCACATCTCTGGCATCAGAAGCATGCTGATGTCAGGTCAGTTTGCATGACTGTTTGTAACACTGGTGCGCCAGTAATGTGGAAGATACGGTCTGTTTTGATAAGATTCTAAGTAAAGCTTGAATATGTTGTATGTTAAATGAGTTATTGGCAGGTTTGGGTGTCACCAGGTTGTGACTGAAATACACAAGTGACACAGCTTTTGGCAGTTTCACACACATCCAACGTATGGGGAGGTTTTCTACATTAATGTGATGCTCACCTTTAGATCTTTGAGATGAGACTCATGAGTCTTTGTACCGTGTTTGTGTGTGTGGAAACCTGCTCTCATGGTGCCTCAGAGTGACAGCAGAGCCAGGCTCACACACCCTGTGCCGCCGTTTAGCTGAACACGCTGGGACACGTACAATGTAACAATTCAGTAAAAGCAAAACAACTGTGCTTCAGTATCTGAAAGGAGAGAAACGATGCCTGTGGTGCTCAGTGTGCCATATAACGTCTGTCTTTATTCCTTTTTATACTGAAGAACTTGTATTCCTCCAGTTGAATTGTGGATCTTTACATCATGCAACATGTCGGGTTTCATTCCCATGAGGGTGGATACCTAAGATCTGATAACAGAAGTAAAAGCTGCTTTTATATGCCCCCCCTCCCCCCCTCCCCCCTTCCATGTCTGAAAATGTGATTATTTTTGGTCAACCACAGTCAACAAGTAGACACAAGTGCAGCTCCTCTCCTCATTACGTGCGTCACTTTTCTAACCGCAAACTCTTAAAAGTCAAACTCTGAAGATGCAGTGCTCAAACCTGTCAATACTCCAAATGGTGTTATTTATTGTGGCTCCTTTGTGCACAAAGCTGACAGTATAAGTGCCTGTTTTATATTTATTTATAACGTTACGGTTGCATGTGTTTTTTTTAACAGATTATATTACATTCAAATATAAATGTTTCTGTTTTTATCAATAAATAGTATTTCTACTATGCATTTACTATCCTCTATTCTCTTAATATGCACATCCAACATGTCAGATGTCACTGGATCAGAAAATGATCTTTTCTTAATAATTAGTCCCGGTTTTGTAAAATTAGACATTTATTTTCAAAAACAGACTTCACATACAATGAATAAATTAATTGCAATATTCAAACACAACTGTACAACCTTCATAACGATTTGACATTTTGGGTCGGGTGGCTTCCACTTAGAGTAACCCGGTCAAACTGTCACCAACTACACAAACGGATGATTGGATGATGTCATGTCATCTGCCACAATCCACTGAGGTACACGGAAACCTTTTCATTTCCACATTATACAGTACAAATAAATTATAGTCAACCATATTGTGCTTAACAGTGAAATAAGTGTTTTCAAAGAATGTCGACATTTAATAAATCACTGGCTGTTCAAGGAAAACACGTTTTATGGTTAACTTAAAATTAAGCTATATTTACCATGGAGACCTGAATACTGCGGTGTGTGTGTGTGTGTGTGTGTGTGTGTGTGTGTGTGTGTGTGTGTGTGTGTGTGTGTGTGTGTGTGTGTGTGTGTGTGTGTGTGTGTGTGTGTGTGTGTGTGTGTGTGTGTGTGTGTGTGTGTGTGTGTGTGTGTGTGTGTGTGTGTGTGTGTGTGTGTGTGTGTGTGTGTGTGTGTGTGTGTGTGTGTGTGTGTGTGTGTGTGTGTGTGTGTGTGTGTGGCTCAAGCGTGAGACACAGGCAGGGAGGTCATGACGTGGGCTGGCAGCAGCGGTTGAAACATTGATGGAGGGGAGTGTACTGCGGGCACACAGAGAGCACTGCAGTCATTATAAATGATATATAAATAGATCTTTATATTATATATTAAGACATTAGTAAAAGCTTCAGCGTCATCATTAAGCCTTCGTTTGTTCAAAAGTTTGATTGTAGATGATTCACCTCAAAAATAAAATAAGTCCTGATTACCAGCGCCATATAGACTGCTGATTACTTGTTATGACTTTCTATGAAAATACACAAAATGACAAAATGTGATATTTAATGAAACAGCAACAGTGGATTGAAATCAATTCAGGAACCTCTGGTTTCATTTAATTTCATGAGCAGCGATGGTTACTGTGACCTGTGTACGTAGTCAATTATGTATGACCATTGTTGTTGTGTTTTATATTCATCCTCCCAATTCAGATTTTGCACAATTCTCTTTATTCACTAATGCCATTTGAAGAAAGTTCCATTTGAACTCTATTTATTTTTCAATGATCATCTTATATCCTGACATTTTCAAAAAAGATCCTATGCTTTACTTTTTTCTTTGGACTAGATTTTTAAATATAACATCAAATTAGCATTAGCAAATTAACTAATCTGATATTTGTCTTTGGCTGGAGGGTACGTAACCACCATTTGGGAAACCTTTTGAAGTGCCTCTTGGCAGATAAACTCCTGTTTTAAAATAAACCAGATCAATATAATATTTCAAATATTAAAATATGAATTTGACATGTAGTTCTTTATAGTCAGCAGTGAACCACAGTACACCGTGTTAATGTCATGAAAAGGCTGGTGCTCACTGTCTATGAAGGAGTGTAGTGCAGAGAGCATTGACCCCTCCGGGCCCCCGTAGGCTGTGTACTGCAGCTCCTCGGGGGTGGGGGTGGGCTGCGAGAGGCGGCTGGACTGCAGCGAGGACATGGGGTTGCTGGAGCCGTGGTTGGGGCTCACGTGCTTCTTGTGGCGGGCTCGGCAGTTCTGGAACCAGACCTGTTAGTTAACGGGACAAACACTTTTTGTAGGATCATAAAAACAAACCATCAAACAATCTACCGTTCACACAAAACACATAAACCAAAAGACACACAAGATTATTGCTGTGAGTAATTCTGTAAGCTTGTAAACTGCAGGACTTTATCTCGCTGCCAAGAGATCTCAGACAGTTGAGGAGCTGCTCCTGGTGAGTAAAACCATATGTCTCTATCAACTTTTACTAGCATTCAAAGTGAGTTTAAAGTCTCACAGCCATTGATCTGAAGCTGTGTGAGGCTGAGTAACTCTATAGTTTTACATTATTTAAATGATACACCTTATTTGAACACACTTACTTGTTTACCTTATTTTGTATGTAAATAACACAATTGAAAAATAGTTAATGTTCTGATTATAGCATACATGATAAACCTTGTACCAGAAATAGAAAATAACTAAGAATATTTATTCACTTATTGTTTCAAAGTGTACATTTAAGATATTCTTACTTATTATTGTATGCTGTATTGTTCTTCTGCACAACATTTCAGAAGGTCAAACAGTTATTTGTTCTCCATTACAGCTTCATGTCAAGACTGAATACTTTGTTGATTCACATTTGACATTTAAAAATATATGATCAATTTATGAATAAAATGTGCTGTTTTTTGGATTAAACTCTGCAACAGAATATAGTTTTTGAAACATGCTTTACATTAAAAACGTTATTACATTTGGAGAAAGCCTCTGCATCTAATGGTAGAATAAATGTTTTTTATTTTTGGTTTTCCTTAATGTTTTAACAACAAGATGAAGTTTCCATATTGCAAACTCACGCTCCTCACTGACCTGTATGACTCTCCGGCTGAGACCCGTCTGCTCCGCCAGCTTCTGCAGCGTCTGAGCGTCTGGATTATTGTCCTGAGCAAACTGGCCCTGCATCACCTGTTCACAGGTACAACAGAAACATGTCAATAACACACAGATTAGCTTCGTTGGGGTGTGAGGAAATGAATGTTTAAGAGCTGTGTAGAGATTTGACCCACATTTGGTTTGTCACAGTTCACAAGTCATGTTGTTATAGACAAAAATATTTCTACAGAATAACGAGAATAAAAAATACTTTAGGGTTGACATTGATTTATAGTTTCCTGGATGCAACATAATACTTTATTAACCATATCATTTAGTATTGTAAAGAAAGAAAAATACATAGTTTATTCAAATGTATATTATAACTATTTTTGTTTAATCCTCTGGAGCAACATTTTGATTACACAAATTTGAGATTAGGTGAATGTATTTGTGGGCTCATTTTCAGGACAAATAATATATTATTCAGTGTTTTCCCAGCAGAATTGCATAATCATTGTTTATCTGTGAAAAGTGAAGATGGAGGTTAACCTGCAGCTGGTCGGCGGTGAAGCTGGTGCGCGCTCTCTTGGAGGGTTTGGGCTGGTTGATCTCCTGCTCGGTGGGCACAGCCCCCTCCATGTTTACAATGCTTCCTGCAACAATAAGAGCACATCTCATATTAAAACATCTTCAAAAATGTAGCTCAAATATATATTTCCTTTAAATTATTTCTAAGTAGGCTATTTTAATTAGAGCAGACCTTTACTAAAGAAATGAAGTCAACAACATTTTGATGACTAATCGGTTAGTTGATTTAATCAAAAGATAGGTTTTCTTTTACAAAGTATCATGAAACAAGCAACACTTTAACAAGGGATGTGATCATGCAGTAAGTGTCTTTGGAAGCTGTTCAACATAAAAAAGCATTTAGAAAAATAAACTGATCATTTATGGAATTATAATACAGTTGAAATTGTTAAATAAAAACAGCAGCATACAATAACAATATTAAAAACCAAGTCATTAAAAACTATAACCAATCACTTCCATTTAAATAAATATTATTGGGACATGAAGTTGTTGTAGGCTAAAATTATGCCTTTTTTCATTCATTCACATATACATTTTGTTAGTAGCCTATATCTAAAATAAAATGCATATTCAACATCCTTTATAGTGGCTTAGAGTAATATAAATTACTGATATGTTTTCCATAATAACATACTTATAAGGACATGGTTTTTCACAATAACAGTAAATTGGTATTTTTCTAACAAAATAAAGTAACGTCTTGGACTTTAAGCAATACTACTATTGCCTCTGTGTTATAGACAAAAAACAGGATAAGGACCGAGTCTCCCCCCTCCCCTCCCCTCCTCTCCCCCCCCCCCCCCCCCCCCCCCCCGGCCGGCTCACCCTTCTCCACGGCCCGCTTCAGGTTGTCCAGCATGCAGTCGTAGTGCACCCTGCAGAGCACCTTCTCCTCCACCAGAGCGAACTCCTCCCCGGTGGACAGCTGCCTCTTGCAGGAGAAGCAGGCGAAGCAGGCAAGGTGGTACACGTTCCCCTTGGCCCGCCGGACCCAGTCTGTGGAGTGGATGTTCCGGCCGCAGCACGCGCACCACGTCCCGTATCTTCTGCAGGGGGGGGGGTTTGGGTGAGCACGGTAAACCCTCAGTAAAATACAGGAGCGGCCTGAGTGCATTTAACTGCTTCAACACCGAAGTATTTCAACAAGTGTTTTTAGCATTTAAAGTATGATGATTACGATTATTTTACTTAGGCCTACATTTATGTTAGAGATATTTTTTAGGCAGAGAATTTTTAAAAAATGGCATTATCCAGCAGAATTATTCTATTATTTAGCCTGGACAAATGTGGAAAACTGACTGCCTTGGTGAAATGTTGAGATAAATAGGCCCCGTTATATTTAATTAATAAAGAAGTGACTCAGATTTAGTCTTGAGTCTCCTTCTTTTGTATATGTAACGAATTATTTTACACAATGGTGTAATATTAATACAATTATTGTTGATCTTAAATATGTATAATTAAGAGTTTTTTTGTTGTACAATAAATCGGCAGAGTTGGAATATTTATAAAATAAATATCAAGTCAAAGCAGTATGACGTATATAGACATAATGTTATTATTAATATTATTGATTTTATATTCCTTTGCAATATAATATATAACGTGACGTCATATAGCCAGTTCGTTACGGGAGCTTCGATGTTGAGCCGCTGGATAAAAGTGGATGCACGTACCTGAAGTAATCTAGTTTACAGAACACTTCTTTTTCTTTGATGTAGCAGCTCGTGTGGCTGCCAAGTGAAGTTTGGCACACGCTGCACGAGAGACAGCGCACATGCCAGCACAAGTCGTTAACCTACAGCATGGACAGGAGAAATTGGCATAAATCAGGCCCGTTGTGTACACGCATGAACACCAGCGTGAGTTCTAAAACACACACACATATCCAAACGGAAACAAGAAAGAAAATCTAAAGTTAAATGGAAAACAGTGCGCAAAAAGTTGTTTTACCTTTAATAAATATTTGTCCACAATCTCCTCGTTGCAGCTAGCGCACACAGCTCTCCCCAGCAGAGGTGCCGATGCCATGGCCTGCAGCGTCGACTCGTCCTCATCCAAAACCTCCACCGGCGCGCCCTGCGGATCACATGCTGTTAGTCTGACGCACAGCAACACATCCAGCCTGCAGCAGACTGCGCAACATGTTACAACTCAGAGCACCCGATTACTGCCAATGACCATAAAACACTGCAAACAGAAATAATCATTATAATAATAACTATGCTCTCATCCTATAGTTGTACTTGCTCTACTGTAGCATGGATTCAACTTGTGTCAATATATTTAAACCTTAGAGAAAATTAAAATGTAGATTAGTTGGATAGGATTATGTTAGATTAGATATATAATTTAATGATCCCAAATTGTATTCTCACAGCAGCATGTCAAGGCATTGCACATTACTTAAACATAGGCTATAATAACATTAAAATAACATTCACAGTCAAATATACATATCCACATTAATAAGATGTATATAAAGTATCTAAAGAATACACAATAGAAAATAACAGAATAAATTGGAATAAACTATAGATCGACCGACAACTAAATACAAACAAAGGATTCTACAAGTGTGCAAAAATAGTTACGGAATGAAATTAGCAGCCATAATCATTTTCAAAGTGAATTGTTCTACCACATAAGCTAACAATAAAAAGTTAATTCGACAATTGCTTACATGGAGGAGAAATATTCGTATATTTGTTAGCCAAATTGATCCAAAATGAGGGGTATTTAAAACTTTATCCGTCATAAATCCATCTGTTTTTGGAGATAAATCGAGTGTGAGCTACAGCAGTGATTTCCTACCATAATGTCTCTCCTGTCCTCAGTGCATTTGCCTAGCAGCTCTTGGTCTCCTCTGCAGTCTTCACACATGACGGAAGTTAGATTCTGCAGCTCTGTCCCGCTGCAGCTGCCTGAAATGCCCCCTGCCCCTTCCCATAAATATCATGCCTTTCACGTTTCACCATGACAACGCTAGCGATTACCAAAATGACATTTAAAAGAGAAGGATAGTCATTACTTACATAAACAGACAACACTCGAGCTAATGCTTATCCTATGTGCATTATGTTCTTCAGATTTGCATGTGTGATTCAGCCGCGGCTCGTTGGCTGTGGTTAAACACCGCAACACGCCAATTTCACGTGTCAATCAAAAGCACAACAAAAAGCAGCGGGGAAAGGCGGATTGATTTTTTTAATAACAGCAATTAAAAGGCTATGTTCGCCACAAACGGTGAAGCAAAAGGTGAAGAGGTCTCATTAACTACTTGAGTTTTTAATTGCAGAATTCAGGGGAGGGGTAATTTTCTTCGACAGTTCTTCAAATTGTGAATATACTGAGCTGTCAGCGTGGAAGGCCGGATTAAATGACAGACTGAAGCCCACTTTAATTTAATTGATAAAGCAATTTCGACTAATATTTAATCCCCTCCACGATCTATAGGCAACACACTGACTCACACCTCGACCTGCTGACAGGAAATACAGCCGGCTGGGTTTAATTGGCATAACTCACCTCATCGTTGGACAACACAGATCCGTTTTCTGTCTCGCTCACAACGCAGCACTCGACTTTTACTTCACTTTTCCAGCGCATGTCTGTTTCCAGAAGTGAAGGTGCCCAGTTTCAGAGTAAAAGTGCTGTTATTCTTTCTTTCTCCTCCAGGATTCCTCCGTCGCTCTGTCTCCAGAGGGCGGATCATAATTCATATTTCCCTGTCCTCTGTGACCGCGCCTCCCTCAGGAAATACATGCATTGTCTGGCTTTGGCTCTGAGCTTTGAGGAAAATAGAAATATGTATTGATCATGTTTCTCCTTTTTTTGATTCCATTTTATGTTCGTATTGAATACAAAACTATATGAAATAAAGATAAAATATATGAGATTAAGAAAATAAGCACGGTAAAAATTAATGTATTTTACATGCAATTACTAACTAACCGATCTTGTAACATATTATTGTTGATTAAAATGTGCTCTACCTCCTGAATTAACTTTAACCACATGCAGGCAGCATAATTAGTTGTAACAATGGTAAAGTATACCACTGTTTTATATTTACTCAAGTACGTCTACACTAATTAAGGTACTTGCACTTTACTTCTAAGGGGAAACATTTAACACATGTCGGCCCTTTTTCATTGAGATCTTAAATAAGGATACAAAGCGTGATTATCAAATACAATGTAATGCATTTTAAAGACCAACAGTATATAATATGCACACCACAACCATGCAGTGTTAACATTATCAGTACACACAAGTAGTATAACATATAATAATATAAAACTCTTAAACAAGTCTTTCTGCAAAAAATACTTTTTCTTTTGAGTGCATTTTGTTAATTCAGTTATTATTCAACATTAAACGCAGGAAAAGTCCCCCCATGTAAGATACATTGATCAACATGTGGTCGGTTTGTTGAAGAATGCAAGAATCTCAATTTGCTTTGAATGACCGCCACCCTACTAACATTGTATATATTTAATTTATGATATACAGTTACAGAGACCATGGCTAAATTCACCTTTTAACCAATTGAACATGGTCTGTGATCTCTTAAAACAAATCAATGTCTGTTGGCAACTCACTCCTCTGACTTTTGTCCAGCCCCTCTTATTATTTTAGGGAAGAGAGTAACATTATACCATAATTCCTAAAACAGAAAAATGCTTTATTATTGTAAAATCAAAAAAACTCAATCTGTAGCAAAGAGATTTTAAATATTTTTGAAGAATTTGTTTAATGAAAAATATTGGTCTATTTGGCAGTTACTATTATTTCACTTCGGTGTGGTCTGTGGTAACCCAACCACTGAGGAAGTGAAGCCAATGTCATATAAATACAGGGGTTAAGTGTACTTGAGTAAATGTACTTAAGTACTTTCCACCTCTGCTTCTCGGCCCTCTAAGTGATTTAGCATCTTCAGCTGCATCACAAGATAGAAAATTATGCCGCCCACCTGCTTTAAGTCAGTATGCAAATCAAGTCAACTGTCAATCTACATTCGAGCTGGTGACACTATGCAGTCTGTTAAAGGCATGACACTTCTCAAGGACTGACAGGAGTCTCATATAAAAACGCTTCGGGTGACTTGTAAGAAAACACACACTTGCTTACCTTTTTCACTTACTCATTCAACCCAGGCGCTCACGCAATCCCACCCACCATCACCACACACACACACACACACACACACACACACACACACACACACACACACACACACACACACACACACACACACACACACACACACACACAGAAACAGCAGAGGGATATTTTCTATCCTGGTCTATTTTGATGGGATAACAGTCCGACCTGCAGCGGCATGAGTCGGCCTCCGTATCGCACCATCGCAGAGGGATAAAGGAGTTAGCGTGCCTCCATCGAGATGTGTCCTGTTCCACCCAGTGGAGATGAATGCTCTTTATCAGATATCGCATCTCAAACATAACATAGCAGACAGCTCACTGAGGCAGCCTGTGAGACAAACACTACCCCTCAATCCCTTACTCTGCTTAAAAATGAAAGGTACAAGAAAGTGAAAGGAACAAAAGCTTTATGTTGACCTCTGTGTTGAGTTCAAACAAAGAGGTCAAAGGTGAAAAAAGAGATTTCATGCGAGCAAGACAGTGTTGCTGTGAATGAAATATCAAAACAAATGATACATACCTGGAGAGCGTTTTATCTTAAAGATGACTAATCCTTTCTCAGACATGAAAGTCTTGAACGATCTGCAGAATACCTGATATGACCACAGATACACTTGAGTGTAACAGTTGCATGTTTGAATTTTCCACATTGCATGGCTCACTACCTAAATGTTTTGCCTGATGTGGACCAGACAACAACAATATCTTATCTGTCAACATCATTCAAACTTGTTCTGCTATGCTCTGCTGTTTTACGTCTGTGTGTGGCTGCAGCTGTATACACAACATGATCTATTAATACTCCATTAAAAGGTATGACAGGCAGGCAGTGATTATGATGGCATGCGAGACAATGGCAATGACGGGTTATTGATATGCCGTCTGAGAGTGATGCGACTAAGATCGAACAGTTGCGTTGTGATACATTTAAGAAGTCGTTCCATAGAGATGATTTTAGGAATTATATTTGAATATTAAGGATTCATTCTTAATTTTAATATTAATAGGGTTCTTGAAATCCTTAAAATCAGTTTAGTACTTCATGACTTTCCCTCGTCTGATAAGAATTGCCATTAAGCATCTCTTTAAACTGACAGATATCAGAGTTTTGCTACAGAAAAGGACCTGCCGGACCTTTAATTGTAATTCACCCCGAACTCCAGTGAAATATTAATATCGGGTAGAATACATTAAAAAATATTACAACAGTCTCTAAATAATCTGTTACAGGTAAATTGCCCCAAATGGTCCTGGACTCTAACCCCCCCCCACACACACACACACACACACACACCCAACCTTCCTCATCCATCACCAGTCACTTTTCTGCCATCTCCGCTGAACACTTTAACATATTATTAACATTTTAAACTGTATACCCCGGTTATCTAGGCCGTTTTTGTTTTTGTTGTTGTTTGATGTATATATGTCACACTGTAGGACCTCGAGAAACGATATTTCGATATTTCTGGATGTACAACATGTAGAATTCTTGACAATAAAGCTGACTTTGACTTTGAAGTATCAGCCTTAAAATAAAGTACCAATTATAATCAAATTATAAATATCGGTGCATTAGATTGTTCATCACTTGTTGCAGCTTGTCAAGGAGTAGATTTAGTTTTTACTTTGATATGTTATACCTTATGGATTTCCAGGGTATCGGGTAGAATACTATACATTTATTTTTCTATGAAAGACTATTTGGCAAACCTGAATATTATGATGTAAAATGTGTAAGATTTCCCCAATTCATGTTATACAGTCATTTCTGTATTCTTTCACCCTCATCAAAAGTAACTTTGGCAGGTTTCTACATGTTGGGTTTTAAAAGGTCACAAAGCAAGAAAAAAAGAAAACAATATTTAAAAGATTTTGATAATTTCTCTGAGTCTGGAGACCAAAAATAGGAACTTAAGACAGTATCAACAAAGCACATAACACAAGTGCTGGACGAAGAACATTAATAGAAAGTCATTCAATTAAAAAGAAGAGCCACATGTTTGTTAGCAGAATCCCTCTCACAAGGATCTACCAATACAACATTATCTCCAAACAACACACGTGGAAAGGATGCTTCCTGGAAATATTTGACCTTTTTTGACAAATTCACATTTGTGATAGTTTTTCGTGCAAAAGTTACATTGAAAAACATGCAGAGCCAAATGCAGGAAGAACAAGGAATGTGGGAGTGTAGCGGTGAGCGTTTGGCCCCGGTGCTTCTCTGAGAAAATCTGCTAATTTGCTATTTCCACATGGACCTTTGCTTTCTCTGCTGCTGCACCTACTCATTTAGTTCATTGAAATCAGTCAGAATTGGGTGGTTTACAATTGACACAACGAGTTTGGCATGACCTTTTCTCCTTGCTGTAAATGGGTACTCATCGAATCTGAAGGGGGAGGTCGGGGTGCTGGAGGAGGGCTGGGGACGGTGGAGGAGGGTGAGGGTGGGTGTTAGGTAGGCTGGGGGCCGACGGGGGATTGGGTGGAAATCACAGCAGTAAAAATGGCAGTGCAGTGAAAGAGGGGCCTGATTGCATTGGGACAGCATGCGAGAGGGAGCAGCATGCTCAGCCCAATCAGAGCCACATAAGGAAAAAGTGCTCTTATCAACCAGTAATAGCCCACTTGACAATCACACAGGCACAAAACTGCTCTATTTAACGCTGATTGCAAAAACTGCTGCCCCCCCCATCTCAGAGCCGCATGACTCCCCGACATCTCCTACCACCTCCCAGCTTACAGCCAAGACCCTTTCCTGAATGGAATTTATTATCACCCCTCCTCCATTTCTACGCTAATTGTTATTTTAAGACTTAGGTTGTGTATTAGGCGTTCAGTGGTGGGGAAATGTCTGCCTTGATTACTGTGTGTATGCCAGCATTGGAGGTCTATCCGTCTGAATTCCACCTGCCTGACAGGTACTGAATGCTGATCTGGGTTCATGTCCGCTGCTTGGTGTGAGGCAGAGCTGCTGCAGAGCACATCTGCACATGTGAAGGTTAGAATCAGAATACCTCTATTCATCCCACAGAGGGGAGATTTACATTGTTACAGCAAAAGTGAAGAAAGTGTATGAAATACTCCGACATGCAGTTTATGTTTTAAACTCTACTTTAATAAGGCGGACAAATTAGTGGAAAAGTGCCCAGTTTTCTTAGAAAAAATATTACAACAGTCTCTAAATAATCTGTTACAGGTACAAGTATCAGCCTTAAAATAAAGTACTTCTTCTGCAGAGCAGCCAATTATAATACAATTATAAATATCGGTGCATTAGATTGTTCATCACTTGATGCAGCTTGTCAAGAATTAGATTTTGTTTTTACTTTTATATGTTATACCTGGCAGCTTATGGATTTCCCCAAGACATCAATAAAGTAAATTTTCTTGAATTATATTGAGTATTGTTCATTAATTTAAGACACTAATGTTATCAAATACATGTGGTAGAGTAACATTTTTGTCTCAGAGACTTAAATTAGTATGAAATTAAATAAATAGTACATTAAAAATATTGAGAAAATGTAAAGAAAAAAGGAACATTATTAACTTTCTTTAACATAATGTACTAATGTTATCTATAGGTACATTATGTGAATCTTGGCAGTACACACAGTTACATCAACCTGCTGCCACCTGCTCTTATTTATACCTATAGAATATCACATTTTAAAAAAAGCATCTGTAGTAGTAGAACCAGTATTTGTAGTAGTTGAAATATGTTTATTGTATTTGCCCCTGGATGGATTGGGAGGCGTGTGGTGCAGTGGGTTGTGAGTTGGTATTCGGATCAGGAGGTCACAGGTTCAAACCCCACTGCAGTCAGCATGTCGTTGTGTCTCTGGGCAAGACACTTCACCCCAAATTGCTCCTGTGGGGATTGCCAGTATTGAGTATGTAAGTCGCTTTGGATAAAAGCGTCTAACAAGTGACATGTAATGTAATGGATGTATTTGTTCATGCCTCATATACATGACTTAGCCACATGAAGTGTAATTGTACTCATGTCTAATCTTGTGAATAAGCATTTAATCTGCTTTTCTCAGCATAAATACTGTAAAATGTTTTATAACTTAAACCTTTATGACGACACAAAGACTCATTGATGAACTTGAAGAAATACACACACTTATATAGTCTCTGATTGAACACCACTAACATCTTTCCTTTTCTGTTTTCCAGTCTCTTATCAACTACACTGAACAAAAATATAAACGCAACACTTTTGTTTTTGCTCCCATTTTTCATGAGATGAACTCAAAGATCTAAAACATTTTCTATATACACAAAATAACCATTTCTCTCAAATATTATTCACAATCTGAAAAAATCTAAAACCCTAACAGGCCACAATCAACAACCTGATCAACTCTATGCGAAGGAGATGTGTTGCACTGCGTGAGGCAAATGGTGATCACACCAGATACTGACTGGTTTTCGGACCCCCCCAATAAAGCAAAACTGCACGTTTCAGAGTGGCCTTTTATTGTGACCAGCCTAAGGCACACCTGTGCAATAATCATGCTGTCTAATCAGCATCTTGATATGCCACACCTGTGAGGTGGGATGGATTATCTCGGCAAAGGAGAAGTGCTCACTATCACAGATTTTTTCAGATTTGTGAACAATATTTGAGATAAATGGTTATTTTGTGTAAATAGAAAATGTTTTAGATCTTTGAGTTCATCTCATGAAAAATGGGAGCAAAAACAAAAGTGTTGCGTTTATATTTTTGTTCAGTGTATTTTCTCCCTTTCCATCACACTCTCCTCTTCGGGTTTCCTCTGTTTTCCTCCGCCTGTTTATCTCAAACATCCACAGGTGTCCTGATGGGGAACGAGAGGAAAACAAAGCGATGCAGAGATGCTGGAGAGTAAAAATGACCAACAAACCTTAGTCTGGGTCCACAACGCAAAAATAGCCCATACAAGTAATAATACATAGTAATTGTTATACATTAAAATGACTTCTCTTACTTCTCTTCATCTCCTTTTTAATTTGCTTATATTATTTTGTATTTTCAACATATTCCTGGAATCCTGGGAATTAACCTCCTCTATGGGGGTCCGCGAAGATTTTTTTTTAAATGTTGAAGTTAAAAGCATCAGTCTGGTGCAACATTAGGAGATCTATGGATACATCTCTCAACACCCATATGAAACAGAACTGTAAGCAAATTTGACAAATCATTCCACTTTCAAACTGTATTCTTATTTATTAATAACAACTTTTCTTTACTGTCATATAGTATTTTATACCTATTTTTCCTTACCCTTATTTTTTTTATAACTATAATGATCATAAAGATGTGCCTTTACCTCACTGGTTGGAGAAAAAAAACTTCTTATATTCGTTAGCATAGCTAGCTAACCAGATGTTAATAACAACAAAGTTATTGATTGTATGCTCAGTATGACAGATGAACAGATCGCCACTGGGCTTTCAACTAAAGACACAGCCACGCAAAAACTGCGGCATGTGTACGGCTCCTTATCGCTCCTTATGGGTACTGCAATTTTTGGAAGAGCCGGAGCGGCGTTCCGGTGCTCTCCGGCAGAACTGCACCCCTGTCAGACGAGACATATACCACGTGATGACACGTTAGGCTCGTGTTGTGTTCAAGGACCCTGACCTTGTCCAGGAAAAACAGGCACTCTCTTGTTTAATTATTTTGCGGTCTAGATTTCTTTAATTTTTTGCGTGTGTTTATAAATGACCTCGAGGGCCGTATCAAATGGTCTTGCACGGGGGCCGGAGGTTCCCCACCCCTGCTGTAGGCCTACAGCATAAATCCTTAGTTTGACCTCCAGTATCAGACTCAAGTATTCCTGTGAAACCATGCTCACTGCCCTCTAAATTCATATCACATATGTATCTGTATCTCCTGTTGTACATTTGAAAAGGATGTATACCAAAAGACACAAGATTCCTGACAACTTATCATTCATCCTTATTTGGTGAGACTCTTAACCTTTGTCCCACACTGAGACAGAAGCATGGCTCCTCTCACTGGTCCTCTCCAGGTCCTCTCTGGTACTGACAAACACTTCAATTGATTAGAAAAATTAGGAGATTATGCCAGAAAATTCAAAGTCTAGGTCGGATTTAATGTGATACTTCAAAACAACATCAAGGCAGTAAGACACCAGAAGACAGACAGACAGACAGCAGAAGCAAACCCACCTGACTTACTAAAGTATATGTATCATAAACATATTAGATAATCAGATGCAGGCTGTTCTTGATTATTTAATGTAGGCTATCCGTTAATATAATGAGCTTCACATTAAGACGTTTGTGTATACTATTGTCTAGAAAATGTGAAAATGATGCTGTTTACTGGTAAAATTCATCCTCAACACTTCCACTAGATGGCCACAGAGGACCTGCAGCTTTAGGTATTCTGGTAAACTGAGTGTGTTTCCTGAGATCTATAACGGTTAATATATCACATTTCATACTTTTTCAAATCAGAGGCTAGACGAGGGATTTGATATAATTTTAGTTCAGTCAGTTTAAGCAAAAAAATAATGCATACATTTTTTATTTGCACACACGCACGCACACACACATATATATACACACACATATATATACACGCACACACACACCACACACACACACACACACACACACACACACACACACACACACACACAAGCATTTGGGATTAATCAGCACTTCTATGCACGTCACTTGCCATTACAGATCTCTTAGGATATCATTACTGTTCTGCCTACTTTAATTTGGCTGTATTTAGACTGCGGTCGTTTTCAATTAATGGGGGAAAAAATATCTGGTATGAAATTGTTTTATTCAAAAATATATATTTGACTGTATGTACTCAAGATGTAATCTCAAAATAAGGAATTTAGATAAAATAAATTGATAATACAAGTATACATGAATCTCGTTAAAGAGCACACTTTCTTTCTTTTTTACTTTTTGAGTATCTAAAACTTTAATAGTTTTAATATATTTTTAACTCACATAAAACTTCCTTTAGCCTATGGAGGTCAAATGTACGGCCACGTCAAAGTAGAAGTGTACTATACATTCATAGTTATTTGTTTCTTGTTCAAAATGTGTTTAAACCTTCACAGTTTTTATATTATGATAACTTGTAAACAACATATAATAGAGTCGAAAACCAAGTGAATGTGTAAATGTTAAATTACATGTGTAATAGTTTCTGGTTGTTGGACTCTGTAAGTGGATCCTCATTGGCAGCAGCACCATCACGTGATGTCCCATAGCAACCATGATAGCAACCGCTGAGTGTCACAGTTCCGCTCTGAGTGCAGACCGACTCCTCTGAAATAAAACAGCCGCACTTTAGAACACTTCTGCCGGCTTAATTTTACTTAACACTGGCCTTACGGTGAAGACAACGGCCCCTTTTATCTCAAATATAATTGTGGCAGGGTTTTTAAAAGAGGGCGATCTGACAAACCATGAGTCACCTCAACCCAGGGTAAGTGTGCAATTTATTGTTTAACATTAAACATTAGGGAGTTAGCATGCAAGTGCAACTTTGTTTTGCTTAATATGGTTTTTTATGTTGTATTTACCTCAAATAATTATAATAGCTTATTATTAAAAATATGTTACGAGGTTCAAATATCCAGTAATATAGTAATTAAAGAGGCAGAATTAAATACTTTTAATTGACACTCAAACTATGCTAATGCTAGCCTACTGTTTAGCATTGCGTCACAAACATTAGGCTGCTCTAATAAACAATTGTATGAGAGTGACATATTTAAAAACAAGCTACTACTTTTAGGTAAGACCAGAGCCCTAGAGAGATAAGGGCTCTGGGTAAGACCAATATACTTTTAGACTAGGCTCTATTGCACTTTAAGTCCACTAAAAGCTAGTAAATCCTAAAAAAAACGTTTGAAATAGCAGTTGTATCAAATAACTGTGAACAACAAATGACATTGAACACAACTTAGAAAGAAAAGAAGAAACACTAGCAACAATGATGGAGTGATGAAAAGATAATGTTGTCAAAAAAGTATTCATATACTTTGAAGAAAATCTTCTGTTACCAGCAGTGTCATGTCGATAAGTACTATACATTTACTCAAGAAGGGTACTTAAGTAAAACATTAAGGTACTTGTTTTTAGTAACATGCTTCCACTCCACTACGATTGAAAGTAAAAAAGAAGCAGCTAAAGTTACTTCACAGAATATACTGTATGTATACACTATTTGTAAAAATGTATGCATCATGCATTGTTATGGATTAATTATTATATGAAGTAGGTCAAATGAACTGGAATTGCAACAATAGAAACATAAATACACTGATAGGGGTCAATCTGCTAAAGCTTACATTTGTATTGCGGTTTTTCTAACCGAGTAATTTTCTAGTGTAGAATTTGCATTTTAACTTCTACAACTAACTTACTTGAATACTAATAACTTTTTTTATTTTAATCCAGGCTTAGTTTTGTTTTTCATTTCTTTAGACTTCTCGATGGGTCAGAGAAAGTCATGTTAATAATGACCCGTAGTAGTTCAACCACCATGTTGTGGCTCAAAGAGAAATCTGGAGCAGAATCTGAAGAACACCAGAGACACACGCCAGGTGCACAAAGAGGAGGCAGACAGCGTTAAGTGTACCATCCCCTTTCATTCCTGTTTGTAATCAGACCCCGGTAACCGACCCTATAGTGGGATCCTCTTGTCTCGTACACAAATGCTGGAGGAAATCAAATCTGTGTTGGAAAAACACTTTGAGTCCGGCCGGGCTGACAAGAAACAACCAACAAACAAACAAGCATGGTGTTGTGCCCCACTAAATAATTTGATTGGGATTCTTGTTTTCTGTGAACAGTAATCAAGATCTCTAGTGGAAGACATTCAGAGTCCTAAAAGACCTCCACTGGCTTCCTGTCTCCCTGTTAATTAACTTAAAAATCCTGGTGTTGACATACAAACTCATCACCAACAAGGCCCCAGATACCTTAGATCTAGCTTGGCCTCCCTACTCTCCATCCTGTTGGGGAATCATTTCCCCTGCATGTCATCTTTCGCCCTCTGACGCAGATGCCCAGCCTAGAGCAGCCGTTATCTCCCATAAGGAGGGGCTGCCCAAGCATTTTGTTGTTGTTACCAGTTTAAGACCGGGCAACTCTCGGTCAGAGATAGTTATTGTTGTGGGACATCCTTCTCGGGGTGTAGATGAACCGAGCCATAAGCGACAACAAATTACATTACATTGCATTTAGCTGACGCTTTATCCAAAGCGACTTACAATAAGTGCGTTCGACCGACAAAATACAAACTTGAAGAAAACAGAATCATATAAGTACATCAGGTTTCATAGAGCCAAACATTTCAAGTGCTACTCAACTGGCTTTAGAAAAGCGAGTCCTTTATTAGTATAAAAGTGCTTTGTTAATAGTTCTATCGCTCGAAGTGGAGTCGAAAGAGATGAGTTTTCAGTCTGCGCCGGAAGGTGTGTAAGCTATCTGCTGTCCTGATGTCAATGGGGAGCTCATTCCACCATTTTGGAGCCAGGATAGCAAACCCACGTGTTTTTGCTGATGGGAACTTGGGTCCCCCTCGCAGTGAGGGTGCAGCGAGCTGTTTGGCTGATGCAGAGTGGAGTGCACGTGCTGGGGTGTACAGTTTAACGGTTTAATGTCCTGGATGTAGGAAGGGCCAGATCCATTCGCAGCATGGTAAGCAAGTACCATTGTCTTGAAGTGGATTCTAGCAGTTACCGGATGTGATTCAGTGTCAATCAAATGTGATTCAGTGTCCCCAGTTGTTTAGTCTATCTATTGAAGAATGTTGATTATTACACTCTGAACTAGTTAAAACCTGGAGCTACAGGAGGGTTCATCAGAATTGGTGTGGCATCTCTACCGTGTGGTCAGACCGTGGCCCGTGACATGTCTTGTGAATTCTCCGGCCGAAGCTCCAAATAAACCGTCAGTGTTTGCCATCAAAGCTCCAGTTCTCCATCGTGTCTCTCTGAGTCCTGACTCCAATTGCTTCAGAAGTTTCTCCCACACATCCCATAGTCTAACCTTTGCAACTTCTATGACAGAGCTTTTTCCAGACCACCTCTGAGGCTCTGGACCCTTCCCCAAGATAAAAGACACTCAGTCTCAATTCTCCAATCCTGCTCCAACACTCGATCTCTTCTCCTGCTTTCTCTTAGCTCCCCCCTTCATCCATGTGACTGAGTAGTGTGTCCAAAGTGTTTGACGTTTGTCCCACCAGTGTTCCCTAGCATTACTCAACTTAAAGTTCTACAAAAGTGAAAAATAAATTGTATTTATTATCAGTTTATTTGTCTGAGATTCATTTAATGAGTGTTTTCTGCAGACTTATTTCAGCATACAACAGTCTCACAGACAGACATCTGGCAGGATACTTCAGCAACACTCGGATCAGGAGACACCTGCAGAGAGCAGGACTGGTACGTCAGCAGGTTGATGGTGACGGTGATGATGGTGATGGTGATGATGATGGTGATCGTGGTGGATGTGATACTTCTGAGAGCTACAGATTTGAGGTTGACGATATCCATACTGTGTATATTATGACTCTCAGATACATTGAGGGGTTTTATCTAGCAATGTTATATCTGGCAGATTTAAAGTAGCACACAACTTTTGCTTCAAGTCTCAAGTTATTAAAGTTAGTAAACAAACAAAACATCTAAAGCCCAGCACACTTCAAACAAGAGAAAACGTTTTTCAGGTGCAATTTAGATTATTAAAGGAGGAAACCAAGTAAAACAAATTCTGTTCAAAGCCTTTAAAGATATGTATGCCTAAAATGTCAGATCTTGGTGACCTCAGTTAGACAACAATGTCTTTGAAAACCTAAACCGTATCCTGAACTTTGCTTATCGTTGTTTTCAGATCACAAGGAGTGGGCGCATTGTTCCAGACAAGGAGTACAGACACAAGCTGATCCAGAGAGCGCACCACAGACACATCCGAGAATGCCTGGCCCAGGCCATCTTCCACAAGGTGCTGGAGATGGAGGTGGGAGGAGCACACTTTATCAGAGACAAAACAGTCAAAACACTCAGAGAATCTGTGCTTATCCTTGAATAATAACCGATTCAAATGTGTTCTGTGCCCCTCCCAAACAGCGTGTCCATCAAATAGAGATCAAAAGGAAACTGGAGGAGTTTGCAAGGAGGGAAAGGGTGCATAAGATCAAAGTACATCATTAACATTTAAACAACACTTTGCTTCCAGATTTTGTATTATTTTGAATAATATGAAACCCCAAAACATTATTAGCATGTACTTTTATTTACAGATAACAGGTTAAACACACAAGGTATGGCCACACATACAAAATGGAAACAATAGTAATGAATGTTTTTTGTTTGGGAAGGTGGATCGCTCTAAAAGATATGAAGAAGAGATCATCCGTATCCTGTCTCCACGCCCACCCACGGGTGCCCGAGGCATCCGGAAACAGCACTCTGGTCCAGAGGGGGAGCACTCTGAGTCCTCTGAATCTGTGAGTCAGAACATAATTCATACACCAGTTGATTGTAGCATCTTAGTAAGATGTAGTCACCTGTGAAAGCTACAGGCCAATCAGGAACCATTTCAATCACTGATGCATGTTCTTATTCAAGTGCATTTTTTAATTCTGACCTTTTATTAAAGCATCTCCAAAATGCAAAAATGGTTACATGACACCACATGGTCTCTGAAATATTACGTCTGAGTTTAAAACCTCAATATTCATTTAAATAACTTTAATTACTCCAATCAGATTAAGCCTTATAGGTCAATCACATCTGTGTTTTACAAGAGGAAAACACAAGGATTGATTTGAATTCAAGTATAATAATAATATCAAGTAATAATGAATCATCCCTCAAACTGTTGTTAAAATTGGACAGCCTCTAGCACAGTTAGCCTGCCTCTGTTCAAAGGTATTTCAACCATTTGACTATTTTCATCGCGGCAACTATTTCTTCATTTGCAGCTCACCTGCATTTGATTCGTCAGTTTATTTTTTACACTATAATGCAGGGTTATTCAATTGGTGGCCCGCGGGCCAAATCCGGCCCCGGGGTGATATTTACTGGCCCTTTGAGTATAATGTTAAAAAGTAATCAACTTTTTTAAAAAAGATTTTAAAAAAGTGCCTTTATTCCAGAGAGGGTCTTACATTGAGAGATAGAGGGGAAGACATTGCCTGAAAACTTCGGCGGGCTGGGGTTTCGAACCCACCTACTAGCTTCTGTAGCGACAACTCCTTTCATTTATTGCATCTCTGCGTGAATGATTAGATTATTTCACCTAAATCAAATGAAATGATGTTGATGGTTAAATTAGCTTCACATGTAGGCCTACTGAGTTCTGTACTAGCCATTTAGATCTATTAAGGCCTTGGGGCTATGTTGTTTGATTGAATTAAACACAATATACACTCCACTGTGCTGTTGTAGTATTTACTGTATCTGAAGCTCTTAATATGATTGCTCATATTTCAAGCCATCTTTTTCCCGGCCCCTTGCTTTGGATCATTTTCATCAACCGGCCCCCGTTCCAAACTAATTGAATAGCCCTTGCTATAATGCAACATCCCTCAAGCTAAAAAGCCCCAATTTCATTTCGAAACCAAAACATTAAATCTGTTTTAAACACTCAAACTCAGGCACAGTTGAGTGGTTTCTATGTCCAAGGCCTTATTTCTGGTAAAACATTTTACGTCTGTTAAGAAAATCATTTCTCCGTCGGCATGTTTAGAGGAGCTGTATCAGCTTCTGTGGCTGTGTGTGCAGACAGGTTAGCGTGAAGCAGTGGGATTTGAAGTGCGTTATCTTTGAAATGTAAGAAGTCACAGACTTTGAGGCCAGAGTAAATAGAGCTGGTAATCCTGCCCTTGATCTCTGTGTTTACCTTTTGAAACGCAGTATTAAGTGTGCAAACATGGCACACTTCAGCAGGTACAGGCTTGTTTGCAATACATGCACAGTCAAATGTTGGCGGTGAATGTCAAAGAGTCATTTGCATTAGCACACTCTTGTAACATTTCTTTATCAGCATAGAAATAAGTGTATGCAATATAAAATAAATAAACGAGCAGATTAAATCAATATACCACAACAAGGTGTAACAATATATTAGATGGTGTACTACCTACACACACTGTAGAATTATGTATGGAAATAAAGGAAAATATACAGATGTATTTGATATGAGGAATACCAAATGTAGAATAATAAAACAACTCTTCCTCCAGTTATGCTTGGCTCCAACACATACCATTCATTCTCTGTAGCAAAGATTAATGAGAAAAAGAAAATATAATTGCAAACATAAATGCAAATAAGCTGCATAAGGCACCTACCATTGAACAACTCCAAAATAAGTACTAAGTGCATCTTAGGGTGACATTGTTTCAAGAATGAACCCCTTAATCTCAATATATTAAGAGAAAATTGACACATACTATGTAATTAACAGCATTATTCCTTCCATTATGCTGGCCTCAAACATGGGATGCTCTTAATTGTGTATGTTTAATTTATACTATTAGTTTTACTGGAGCACAGCAAATCAAACTGAATTCTACTGTGTGTGTGTGTGTGTGTGTGTGTGTGTGTGTGTGTGTGTGTGTGTGTGTGTGTGTGTGTGTGTGTGTGTGTGTGTGTGTGTGTGGTGTGTGTGTGTGTGTGTGTGTGTGTGTGTGTGTGTGTGTGTGTGTGTGTGTGTGTGTGTGTGTGTGTGTGTGTGTGTGTGTGTGTGTGTGTGTGTGTGTGTGTGTGTGTGTGTGTGTGTGTGTGTGTGTGTGTGTGTGTGTGTGTGTGTGTGTGTGTGTGTGTGTGTGTGTGTGTGTGTGTGTGTGTGTGTGTGTGTGTGTGTGTGTGTGTGTGTGTGTGTGTGTGTGTGTGTGTGTGTGTGTGTGTGTGTGTGTGTGTGTGTGTGTGTGTGTGTGTGTGTGTGTGTGTGTGTGTGTGTGTGTGTGTGTGTGTGTGTGTGTGTGTGTGTGTGTGTGTGTGTCACGGTGCTGCAGCCGGGCTCGACTCGACCCAACACGGCTCCGGGGAAGATGCAGCGGCCGGTGCGTCTGAAGCCGATCGGCAGTAACAGCACCACCGCCTCGCTCAGACGCAGCTCCCCTTACAGACTGCTGGAGTCGTCCAATGAGAACGAGCAGATGCTCAACAGCACTGTGAGGCCGCGATACATGAGACCCGTTCATTCCTTCACCCATTCATCTGCCTTCCTGCTAGAGAGTTTGCATGACAGTTTTCCTGTATGGACCAAATCAGATTCTAGATCAATATCACCTGTCTTTGGAAACTAGTGGCAGAACTCTTGCAGTTGCACAGTGAGTGATAAAAGATACAAAATAGAGTTGTATCATACACATATTGTACAAGTGCCTACAAGCTCAGTAAAATAGTTTGTGCTAAAACCAGAAAGCCACATTACTTTTCTTTACTAAACAAAGTGTGAACGTAGCTTAGGACAAACTCCTCTCTATTAAACCTTTGTCTGCTTGTAAAGCAGACAAAGGACACTGGAACAACAGCACACACTAAACCTTTCTACTTCTCTCCCAGATGGAGAAGGAGTCCTGGAGACATCGGACCACAGCCGAGCCCCCCCGTGGCATCTCACCCTACTGCCTCCCCGTCATCAACAACTTCGTCACCCCGGTGCCTCCCTCCACGAAGAGGAGAGAGAGGGGGGTGAAGGTCACTCCCAGCGGGACGCTCCGAGGCCGCAGACTGCGTCCCACCACCGCCTCCAGTGGAGTGGACGCCTACGAGGTCTTTGTCTCTTGTTACGTTTTCCCCGGCAACAACACCTTCCACATCAAACTAACAGCCCCTTTGGATTAATTCGATTTTTGCAAGACTCAGCAGTATTCTCTATTTTATGTTTACAATGTATTTGTCCGTGATCATCTTTATTCTGCATATCTAACATCAATCAATCAATGTTTATTTATACAGCCCAATATCACAAATGTTACATTTGTCTCAGTGGACTTCACAGTTTGTACAGAATATCAGTATGACCATACGACACCCTCTGTCCTTAGACCCTCACATCGTACAAGGAAACACTTCCAAAAAAGGAAAAACCCCACAGTTTAAAGGGGAACATGGGAGAAACCTCAGGGAGAGCAACAGAGGAGGGATCCCTCTCCCAGGTCGGACAGACGTGCAATAGATGCCGTGTGTAAATCGAAGAGATAATACATTTACAACATAGGTAGACCAAATGTTTGGAAATGCATGTGTCTATAATAAGAAGATGAATCCACGAGGATGTCAACAATCCTGTGGGAGCCATCAGGGAAGTAGTATGATGAGAGTCAGGCAGGACCACAGCAACAGGTTCAGCCACGACTCGAAGTTCAGGACTCAGATCAGGACTCAGGATCAGCCACGACTCAGGATCCCGGCGTAGATAGACCCCAAAAAGAAATTTGGGGGAAGCTGGGTTATTCGGAACATGAGAGGTACAGACAGAGAGAAGGAAGAAGTAAGGTGTCCCCCGACAGTCTAAGCCTATAGCAGCAAAACTAGGGGCTGAATCTAATCAGCCCTAACTATAAGCTTAATTTGCCAAAATATCAATACAGAACAGCATACAGGGACCGTGAGCTTTTTATTTTCCTTCACCTCTAGTCACAGACTATTGTTAAGACAGTGGTGACAGTAAGGCTGCAAAGAAAACCCAATTCATTCAAATCAAAAGTAATAATTTAACAAAGTAAGGAATCTCTTACTGACTTAAATGTATTTAATTGTCCACTGAGTAAGTATGATGTCGTTAACTGATCCCAACCTGCCCTTTTCTCCCATCCAGGACCCCCCCATGCTGAGGAGCTCTGTGCTCCAGAGCAGAGTGCGTGTGAACATGATATACTTTGGCAAAACGGTGCATCTCTCTCATGACCTGACCGACATGAGGGATGAGGTCAAAGTGTTTCAGCAGCACTGTGGAGGAGAGAACCTGTGTGTTTACAAGGGCAATCTACGAGAGGGAGGTCAGTGTGTGTGTTAGATAAGTGTGTTCGCGTACACAAATAAGAGCAAATCTCATGAGGGAGGTCATATAGATAACATACAGTCTGTGTGTACAACCTTTAGGCAAACAGACTAACTCCACTATGGGGTCAGCAACTCCATGGAATATCTTTAAATGTATTGTTTCTGTATCTTTAATTTAGTTGAGTATCCATTCTCACTTGATGTGTTTTGGTTGTTCCTGCAACACAGAAGTCCCATATTTTGATGTTGAAAATGTTCCTTCCTCTCATCCACACCCTCAATCTCTCCCTCAGAGACTTTCCAGTTCATTTCCAGGCGGCACCGAGGTTTCCCCTTCAGCTTGACCTTCTTCCTGAACGGGCTGCAGGTGGAGCGGCTCAGCTCCTGCTGCGAGTTCAAACACAGGAAGGGCTCACGACTGGGCGGCAGGCACGGACACTTTGGCTTCTGCGGAGTGGAGGGGGCTTCTCCGTGCTACAAGTAGGGTCTCTCTTTTAACAGGCACACCGTCAACTCCATTTGTGATACAGTTGTGAGAAGGCCTTTGTGACAGTCACCGAACTCCCTTACTGAAGTGTCAGCGGTCAAGTTGCATTGTGGGTAAAGAAGCCCCAAAACCCAATTGTACTGGTTCAGTGTAGTAATACAATTCTGCCCTACAATTCTAACTGCAGTCAATGGGTCACATGACATGGAAGTTGTTAAACAAAGGAGAATTTGTCAGCTAAACAGAAAGATATTAAAAGATATATTTTTAAAAAAGCCAGAAAAACACCAACTGTTTCCTTTAAACTTGATGTTAACTTTACATCTTTCAAAATATTGACATATTCCTCAACTGAGTGTTTACAGTGTACAGTCTAACTTCTTCAGGTGCATCATAGCAATGGGACTGGACAAGAAGCCCACTCCTCCACCAAAGAGAGTCAAAGATGATGGAGTAAGAGAGGAGTCAGTGTCCAGCCTGAAGGAGGCTCCTGTGATGGAGACAGAGAGGACTGCAGACAACGAGTCAGAGTGTGAAACCAGCCGACCTCAGGACATGGAGACTGAAGTCAAAGAGGCAACGGCAGCGGAGGAGGACAAAGTCAGAGATGGTATGGATGAAACCAATATGAAATAAATACACTTCTATTCTATACAGTGACTCTCAAAGCATTTTCTTCCTCTTCAGATTATGAAGAAGACTTTGAAGCAGATGACGAGGGCCCTGTGGAAGATGCTGAAGTGAAGAAATCCCCATCTCCTTCTCAAGAAACTGAAAGTCAGACTAAAGAAGGAGACGCCTCTGAGACCGAGGACGACGAGAAGGAAGGTGGGCGAAACATCTTGTTCAAACACATCTTTTAAGATAAAGTAAAGTAACTGGGAGTAAAGTGATATTTCACTCTTACTCTTCAAGCATTATTTACTTTTTCTTTTCATAAAGCAAAAGAGAATCACTCTGTATCTCTAGAGGAAAACACATATCTCTGGTTAACATGTAGAACCTAGATTTAGATGAAATGCTTTACAAACATAAATAAAAAATGTTAGCAACAAAAACATCTTTTAAAAGTAGAATTTCGCTATTTTAGGAAAAACGGCTACTTCTATGTATTAATAGTATAACATGGACGTTAAGAAAGTGTTTTTTTTTTTGTAAAATAATATGAAATGCTCCATCTTTGTTGCACAGAGGACATACAGTCAGCTTCAGGCTCCAGCTCCTCAGACAGTGAGCGGGAAGAGAGCGATGCTGAGGTCACCAAAGAGGACGAGAAAGCAGAAAACATTAAAGAAGTCGACCCGGAGGAAAGTGCTGTTCCACTAGAAGCTGCCACTGAGGCCATACCTGCTGCGCCTAAAGACTCGGACAAACAGGACACTGCGGGGAGACAGTACCGAGATAGAAGTGTGTGAAACAAGTGTCCCCTCGGCCAATGAGAATCAACAAAGTGAAGAAATCTCAGCAGAAAAAGACGAGGAGAAAATGGTAGATGAGAGCAAAGCGGAGCAGGAGCAGGATAGGGGTGAGTGGGAACACGTCTAACTCTGGAGTGAGGAATTGGACCAGTCCATCTTTTATGGAGGTTTTTCCACTGTTATCTCAACCAGTCATTCAAGTATTGCTCTATTTACCGTAGACTGACAACAGCCAAATAACTATCACAGTATTGTCATGTTGTGAGATTTAAATTAACATAATGACGTTGTTGTGAAATGAGATAGTGGAAAAATTACGTGTCTTATTATTTTTTTTCCTGCATGATTTCTTTGTGATTTTCTGTATGTTCCACTTTTTAATGTTCATTTCTTTGGTTGCTGTTTTTTTTGTATGGGTTACATTTTTACATTTTAGAAATCTTTCTTTAACTTCTGTTAGCTTTTTTACATAATAATAATAATAATACATTTAATGTATATACAGTAGCGCTTCTCCTCTGCCAAGACAAATCTCGAAGCGCTTCACAACAAAGGACACTGATAAAATGTGAGATTAAAAAATATATATATATAAAAATAAAATAAAAGTCGGAGATAGCGATAAAAATGGCAGTACTCCAGGTGTACCATGCTCAAAGTTTATTGGAAGGCCTGCCGAAAGAAGAGGGTCTTAAGGCCGGTTTTGAAGACATGCGTTTCAATACTTATGGTTCAAGCTCAAATTATGTGACATAAATTAATTAATATACAGTTTATAGCTTAAAAAACAAAGGGAGGACTCAGGTCAACGTCAGAGAGGAGGTGAAAGCTACCACTGATGGAAAAACACACACATTTCATATTGCACAAGTTTCAAAATGTGCAGCTGGACAAGTGTTGAGTGCCCAAACAAATCTATGTTTGTCTTTCTAGCAGCATTCTTTATGGTAATGGCTGTAAATATCTAATTATGTACAGTAAATGTAGTATTAAACTGAATTATAGGTTTTCTCAACCAAAGTGTGCTCCAAGTGCAATCCTGTTGGCACAAAAGTGAGTTCATATCCTAAAATGTACATAAAATAGTTTTAAATATATATGTTTTAAGACATTGTGTTTCCATTTTGGTTGTGTACTGAATGTTTGTGTGTTGTTTTTCTGTGCACGTTGAATATTATTTTGCATGTTCTGTTTTACACTTGGAAAGATTAAAGACATTCTGGTGTTATTGGCTACACGTCTATATTTGTTGGCTTATTTCTTCCATTCCTTTTGCATTATTCAAATACGTATTTATTCTTTACCTTAAAACATACGGACATCGTCACTATGAGTGTCTCACAGTAGTTTATCCTTAGCTTGTAACATGCTCTTATATCCCTGTGTGTGCCATGTCTCTTTTTCTCTCCCAAGCTAAATCTGTGCAGGAGAAGTTGGCAGAAGCCATCCTGAAGGAGTCCCAGTGCAGCTCCGAGCCTGAGCTGAGCGACACCAGCACCGAGGAGGAGGAGGAGGAGTCCTCAGAGAAAGGCCCTGAACCGGACAGCAAGGGTACCAGATCTGCATTCGGTACCACTTTGCAACAAGACTACCCTTATAAAGGATTCATAAAGGGTTTATCATTAGGTTATTAATTATGTTGTAAACACTTTATAAACCAGTTCTAACATAGACACACATCAACACAGGCTCACTATTTGGCAAGATGACGAAGCCTTATATTGGTAGCTTACTTCGTCTTCTTCATCAGCCATCATCCTTGGTATCTGTTGTTCACTGAGTTGATTCCCCCCCATCCATCTTGATGTTTCTTGGCATCTCTTTATGACCATTTATTTACGAGTTACGAACATTTATAGTTGCCTAAAGGGAGGCTTATTGTAAAGTGTGAGTATGAGTTACTACCATTTCTAATAAGGCTTAGCAGTACAGATACATGTGGGCTCACTATTTGTCACAGTTGCCCTGTTCATCTCATGTCCTATAAAAGCTTATTAATGACTTCTAATGTGTTCACAACCTAATTAATAAATGAATTACAAACTATTCGTAAACCCTTTATAAGGGTAGCCTTATTGTAAAGTGGTCCCCTACATTCTAATTCAAATAAATCAGACCACTTCTGCAGTAAATAAAAACATCCCTAAACAACCTCTGCATTGTGTTTTCAGATGCAGTTGCAGTGAAGTCTATCACCTTGACAGAAGAACTACAGGCCGTTGTGGAGGAGACAAAATGTGAGGAAGAGGTTGTTTGTGAAGCTGAAGAAGTACAAGAGACGTCTGATCCAAAAGAACAAGAGGAAGAATCTGAACAGGAACCCCAGGAGAACAAAGATGTTCCTAAAGATGTGGAAATCGAAGAGGAAAATGAAAAGGACAAAAACACAGAGCATGTTAAATCAGAGGAGGCAGAAGATGCAGCTACAGCTCTGCATCCTGTATCTGAAGAGGAAATGGCTGAGGAAGACAAGACTTCAGGACATCAAGAATCAGCTAAATCAGCCAATGAGGAGGCTCTAGAGAAAGACAAAGAAACCGAGGAGGAAAAGGACGTGGAGGTTGACACGCAGCTCGACGAGACAGGACACGGGGCAAAAAGCAGCGAGGAGGATGAGTCATCGGTATCAGAGCCGAATCAAATCCCTGATGAGACAGCAGCGCCTCATGATGCAGAGGCGATGACAGCCAGCGAGACAAAGGAGATGAAAGCAGAGCCCTCAGAGGAGCGAGAGGCCCTCAGCTGTGAAGAGGCACCTGTAACCCACACAGAGACGAGGCAGCAGGGAGGCAGCGAGGACGCAGAGACTGAAGGCACAGCGGAGAACTCAAGCAGCTCCACGGAGGGTAGCGGAGACACCACAGTGGAAACAAGTGTATATTTAAGTGAGGAGAATGCTAAAGAGGAAAGTAGTAAAGATGATATTAAAGAAGCGTCAGCAGTAGAGGAGAGTAAAGATGGCGTTGAAGAAGAAAGAGGAGGATGATGAGAGTAAGACGGAAGAAAGGATAGAAAAGGAGGAAATGAGTTCAGAGCGGACTGAAGTTGACTTTAAGGATGAAGGAAATGCAAATGAAGAACAGGCAGAGAAATCCCAAAGTGAGGAAGAGGAAGTTGCAAATGAAGAGAAGGCAGATGAATTAGAAAAGACAGAGAAAGACGAAGAAGATGGTGAAAGTGTCAAGAATACAAATGATGAGGAAGAATCAGAGGAAAAGGGAGATGAAGCTATTGAGAGTGAAAAGGTGAACACAGCAGCTGGGGGGGGAAAGGATGAGGAAGAGAAAGATAACATCGAGGACAAATCTGAGAAGGATAAAGATGAGGAAGGATGTGAAGAGAAACAAGAGGAAGCTGATAAGACTCCAGACAGAGAAGAAAAGACGTCTGAGATCATGGAGGAATCTGAGGGAAGTACAGGTGCCGACTTGGATAAAGATAATGCAACAATATCAGATGATAATATTGTCGAGTCAGAGGATGTCGAGGATAGTGAAGCAGGAAATGTAGCACAGGGGACTGAAACGACTGAAGAGACTTCAAACAACGTAATGGAGGTTGAAAAAGAAATTCAAGAAGTAAATGACAGCAGTGAAAAGGGACAAGTTGACGTTGAAAATGGAGAGATGTCAACCGAGAAGAAAACTCAGGAGGGAGAAGGAGAGGTTCAAACTGACGTGAAAAGAGACGAGAATACTGAGACAAAAGCAGAGGAGCCCACAGAGGGGGAGAGCACAGAGGGAAAGGAAGTAACTGTGAAGTCTGAAGCTGAAACACCTGAAGTCGACAAAGCTCCTGATGTGGCACACACTGAGGCTGAGGCAGCAGAGGACAGTGTCGAAAAGCAAGAGGAATCCACTCAAAACGACGACCCGGACACATCTGGCATGGAAACGAAGGATGAATCGAAATCAGACGAGAGAAACGACGAGGAGGGATCGAAACAAGATGAAAATGGAAATGTATCTGAGCCTGACAGTGAAAACAGAGATTCCGAGTTGATGACAAAGAGCGATAATGTGTCGAGTCATGTCAGTGAGGTGATGGTTGCTTCGTCAGGTGACCAGGCACAAACTCCAACACACACAGCTGTGGATTTAGATCCAGCTCAGAAGTTAGAGGTATCCACGGCACAGCCTGACTCTAACACTGAAAAACACACGGAAGAAAATCCTGCTGATCACTCTGCAACTGACGGAGAAAACGGAGCAGACACGGAGGAGGCGAGCAAGGCCTCGGAGGAAGGAGCCAGCGTGCTGCTCCAACCTCAAACACAGTCCCCGACACAAAACAACACAGAGGAGAGCGTAGCAGAAGTTAAAGAAACTCCAGAAGTACCAACAAGAGAAAACAACGCAGAGATGGTCACAAACTGGGTAACCAAGCATCAAACATCCAAGTTCTTTGAGACGTTTGTTGAACCGTTGGAAGACTTAAAGGAATCACCAGATGCTCAACTTAACGCCAACGAAGAGGAAACACAATCTACAGAACAGGCGAGAGCAGAGAGTCCACTTATGATGGCAGAGATATCTCAAAGTGTAAATGAGGAAAGGGTTACAAGCAAAGAGGAACCTCAATCTTCAGCTCACTCTGAAGCCGGAGAACAGAGTGAGAAAGACTCTCAGCAAGTGGAGGAGACTGAAGTAAAGGACTTTAAAGTAAAGCCAGAGAGTGATAAAGAGTCTGTGAAAGGGCAAGATATAAGGTCAGAGGACCAGAAAGGAAGTAGGCGATCTCTTGATAAAGTGCAAGAAGGTTTAATGCAGGATGACACTGAGCAAACTGATGTTTCCAAAACTGAAGTGGAAAGCCTATCAGGGACTCAGCATTCAGTAACGAGCGGCAGAGCTGAGGGGGAGGAGAAAACTAGTCCAGAGTTGAATGAAAAACAAGCAAATGAAGAGGAGAAAGATCTTCTACCTTTATCCAAGACAGAAGAGCAGGGCGAATGTTCAACGATTCCTGAAGGGCTTTCCAAGTTGAAGGCAAATGAAACAAAAGATACCGAAGAAACTCTGGAAACAAGTGAACAAAGTCGAGAAGTCAAAGAAATAACCGATTTCACAACGTCTGACGATGGAAGTCAAGAGGAGACCCAACGGAAAGACATTGACCCCCAACCGTCGGACGCGAGCATCAACGGAGACAGACGAGACGTGCAGATGATCGAGGACATCAAACACACGTTGAGTAAAGACCGACTCAGCACTTTCTCAGTGGGTGAAGCGATGTTCAGTAGAAGTTCATATCCTCTGCTGACCGCTGCGAGGACAGAGAGCGGACATTAGAGCGGCTCCAAGGTACAGTGAGGCTTTAATAGTTTGTTCTTTAGTTACAGGATAATGTGATCAAAAGTGAATATCAAACAAGCGAGGAATTAGACAATCAGATGGCTACATTTAGAAAAACAGACATTTCAGTCGGACAACTCACGTGTTTCTTAATATGTTTATTAGAAGCAGCATATAGTTGAGTTTGGCGTCTAGGGCCTCATCACTCCACAGATGTATAAAGAACATTGAGTGATGTTAATGTATCATTGGTACTCGAGTTGACTGCCTGAACTAGCTCGCAGGCTTCGCCCCATTATTAGGGACTTCCCCAAGGTACAACAAAAGCTTGTCTTAGAGTATACATTCATAAAAACAGTGACTGTTACTTTGGATGGAAGTCATTGGTATTGGATGGCAGTCTGAAAATGCACATCTTTATATCCTAATTAAGACTTGTTTATCATAAAATGGTTGGTTAGCTTTCTATTATTAAAGTATTCCAAACTTACAATCAGAGTGCCTTGGATGCTTTTTAGATTGCCAACATATACCATTGACTTCCATTAAAAGTAAGCTGTGTTTTTTTTCCGTTTTTTACTAGACTACTTGCCCTGTTCTTGAAGAGCACTTGTTTTTGATTTCAACATCACCTACTCCAAGTTTCCTCACAGAGTGCAGCACTGTTTATGGTTTTAGTTTTGTCCGAGGCCTTCAAGTGTCTTGTGGCTTCTATGTTTACCTCACAAAGGCTTCTTAAACAGTCTTCATCCTTCACTAACCAAAAAGAGGACGCTGCATAAGGAGTTTTGACTGCTGCATGAAATGTTTACAATAGAGCATCTCTTCCTATTGTCGCTAACAAAGAGGCGTCGTATCAAGTGCAGCTGCTATCACTTATTACCCGTAAACCGATACTCTTCCACTCACACACGACTCAATAATTGATCGTTGTTGGTCTCCCACAGCTTAGTTTGTCCCAGCTACGCTATTTCCACTGATGTTACAGTACCTTAGAGATCTGTAATTGCACTGTGTTTTCGTGCTTAAACGTGTATATTTCTTAAGTTGAAATCTAGACAAAAAAACGGGAATTCTAACCTAAGCTAGCAAGGATCCAAGAATAAAACAGTGGTAACATTGTGAAATGTCAAATATAGCAGCGCTGAGTTGTGTCATTAGAGCTGCTAATACTACCTCTTATTTAAAAAGAAAATATTTATTTATTTATATTGCCTTTTCATTTGATCCGTATGGCTAGCGTGGGTTTGTGAGGCTTCTTGTGTTTGATTGATATCCGTTAGTGAACGAAAGCTTAAATAAAAACGGTGAGATTGATACTGGCTTTCTGATTATTTATTTTTTACATGAAGAACATATGCACAAATGAACTGGGAACCTAAAAAGTAGACAAACAATGTACTGTTTTTGCTTGTCACACATACAGTATTTACAAAAAGCGTCAACAAATGATAAAAAAAAACATGACATAATGTATGTAACAGATAAAACTCAAAAAACACAAGACTAGAGATATTTGGAGCTAAGAATGTCAACTCACAAAGAAACTCAACAAAATACAGTTCAGTTTGCACATGGTTAGAAATACAGTATTTTCTACTTTAACCATCTTTGTTTAGAGGTTTTGCTTAAAATTAACTATAAAAAACGCATGAATGTCTAAAATAGGTAATAATAAAAAGGATTAGTTACTGTCCTCGAAGCTGCCACTGCTGCTGTAAGAGGAGTTTAACCTCATGGTGCTCATGGGATCAGACACATAGCCTGGAAAAGAGACAAATAAAGACATCTCTGACACACTATTCATAGTTAGTTTCATTTATGATGAATAATATCTTAGAGATATTAAGGTCTGTGAAATATAATATGTTCTTAATGGAAAGAATTCACTGAAAAGACCCAAAATGACAATGAATTGATCTTCTTAAACAGAAAGGACACCGTTGTTAATGAGTGATCCCACATAGTCCTAGCTAGCAGACATACTAACTAGAGTACAACATTTGTGTTCATCCGCCGCAGAAAATAGTCCCTAACAAATATTATAAAAGTCAATTTGATTGCTGTCCTATTCTTTCATTTGTTTATTTTTTAATGAACCTTTTGGTACTTTATATTGTGGTTTAAGTGCCACCGACAGAGAGGGGTATATAAAACAATGACTGCCACTTTATCAGTGTGCATGTGTTCTGTAAACAAACCATTTCGATCGATGGGAGAAAACTGCATGTTCCTCCTGAGTTCCTCCAGTGAAAGACCTCCAGATGCACGGCGCTGCTCACTGCAAAATAAAATCAGCAATTATTTATTAATCCACTGCAAAGCAACTCCAGTGCAGAAATATATCCAGCTTGATTTACATGGAGAAAGATAGATGAGATGGAGGCAGATAAAAGCTGGAGGAATTGAATATGTAATGTCCGATCTAATACCACGCTGCTCTCACTTTCTCTGCAGGGGGTCAGAATAAAAAATAGATGGACAGATTTGATTGGCCGCCGCAGACACAATCTGCACACTGTTGATCAGCATTTAATATTCAAACATGTTGTACATTATTATAAGTTCAACTGTTAAAATGAGGATGAATTTGAACTTTCATAAGATGAAAACACACAGAAAGTTCTTGTCTAAGGTTTAATTGCCACGATAAGCTCCTGTATCTGGCTTCATAGTGACTGTTGCCTGACACACACACACACACACACACACACACACACACACACACACACACACACACACACACACACACACACACACACACACACACACACACACACACACACACACACACACACACACACACACACACACACACACACACACTCTCTCTCTCCTCGGTCAGAAAGCCATGCATGTTTTATTGCATTGGCTTTCCTTTGTTTCCTTTTCTGTATCCGAGCAACTCCATCCCCCCCACTACAGTAACTATGTTAACTGGTCTACATGTTGCTATTACAATTTCTCAGAGCGAGACGTCTCCAAGACACCACTGTCCAAACTAAAGCTGGCTGTGGAATTTCTGTTCGTGAGAGTAAGGCTGAAAAATATTCTCTGGTGAGATTGTTTTATAAAAGCTTTTTAATCTACTGGGCAATTTAAACCCTATCCACATTTTCATTATATAAATGATAAACAACTTTAAATAATTTGAAGACATTTAAACACTTGCCTGAAACACCTTGATTTAGCTATGTTTACTTCTGTAACACAGTGACATCAAAACGTCATACTTGAGCTGCTATTTGCGCTCCAACACATTTACTGCATTTACTGATTGATCCAATAAGTTAAAGGGTCCGATTCATGTTTGTTGATTTTTAAACAAATTGACAATATTTAAGGAAATTGGGTCATGGAACTAGCCAAAGTGAGAAGAGACAGCAGTTGTTTAGTGTTGTAAGAAACATGAAGTTATTTGGTCTTCACCTCCAAAAACAAATTGGATGCTAAGTCAATGCAAAGCTTCAACTGATAACATCTTGACTTGTTTAAAAGTGGCATTTATGCAGAGCATTCCCGCCACCTCCCCCTGAGGGTGGAGGAGCTTCAGTTCCTCACCTCTGGGTCCAGATGGCGTAGGCTCGAGTGTTCAGAGCGTACTCCAGCTCGAAGCGGGACCGCAGCGCAGCGACTTGACTCCGCCCCGGGCCGCCGCGCCCCAGCAGGCAGTCGGAGGAAGAGGAGGGAGACAGGGAGCCGCTGCTGTTACTGGAGGCCGGGGACATCAGCTGATCAACAACAACAACAACAACAGTAAATAACACACTGCAGGGATACACAAGGGGACAGTCAGGAACATGAGGGATCGTAATTAGAATTCATTTTTTACTAGGGGGAAATTGGATGTTGTAACAGTTGCTCCATTTAAGAATAAATACATTTATATTTATCAGGGTTTAACTGCTAGTGGGTAAATAAGTCCAAGTCTGTTATATTATCTGTTATATACCTCAACGTTGCACAAGCATTCCTCCAGGTTGGAAACCACTTCAGAGAACTCAGGCCTGTCCTGAAATTTGAAAAAAAAGCAAACTATAATACATTTCTGTTTCGATGCTGAACAATCAAAAGCATTGTGTGCATCCAACACACAGACACACACACGTGGGTTCTCTCAGTGTGTCCTGTATTTTAGTCCGCCCACACATGAAGCACAGGTGAGCTCTGCCTCAGAAGCGATCCTCAGATCTTTCCCTCGCTGTGGAGAACAAACAGAGCCTCCCCAGAGCTGTTCAATTATACATCACATCCTCAGAAACAGGGTCTGACCGTCTGCTTTAATATCACAGACCACAGAATACTATATAGTACAGATGAAAACAAATCAAAGTGGGATTGGGATTGTAGTGATTGCTTTTCCCCTATATTTGTTCGCTTATATGTTGTCATTACTCAAGTATCTACTGCTCTATGGAAGAAAAAAACCTTCACTGCATTGTAATGGTCTCAAATGAATAAAAGGCGCCTCCTCCTAGTCCGCTTAGTTCCTCTGAATTCCTTGATGCCTATGGGATCATGGTTATCCCATTTGAGCCTATTATACACATAACAACTCTGCCAAGATAGCCTAATATTGCTGTTTGACATAACATGAGACTACACCAAATATATAGTTATTTTTTAAGTAATTTATTTGTTTTTAACTCTGTAAAATTCCCGAAACCACTGTATGTCTGAACTATCTCACCAAAACACACACATTTAAGCTTTTCTATGTGATAGGGGAGGCTGTGGCTCAGTGGAGTAGTGCGCTGAACTTAGTGCACTGAACTTTGAATCAGGTGGTAGCAAGTTCGAGTCCCACTGCAGTCAGCATGTCGTTGTGTCCCTGGGCAAGACACTTCACCCCAAATTGCTCCTGTGGGGATTGCCCACAGTATTGAATGTATGTAAGTCGCTTTGGATAAAAGCGTCTAACAAGTGTCATGTAATGTAATGATATCTAACTAATATTTAATTATAATATTTTCACTTTAATTCACTGAGCCCTAATGGAGAAGCCTGTCCTCCACTTTGAAAACCTAGTCTAGAAAGGTCCGATGATCATTTTGGTGAGATTCTATTAAACTTTTAAGAACAATTTGTCCTTTCCATTTACACTAGTTTCAGAGAAAATGTGCATTAATCTGAGAGCAGTTTTGTAATATAGGCTTCTTATAGGTTTGATAAATATTTCTCAGCATGTCCCACTCTCAAACCCCAGGACATTAGACCTTGTGATGTCTTTGAGATTTGGGACCACAGCAGGAGCGTCTTCTAACTAAAGGATCGTGCCACAGAGAGCAGCACCTTCGGCTGTGATATAATATGTGTTAATGAGGCCCAGCACACAAACACGTGGCGGCTAATAATGAGCATGGCAGCACTGAGAGAGGATCATCCTGTGCTGCTAAAAGAGAACCTCCGTGCAGTAATGTTAAACCATACACCCCAGCACGTGCACTCCGCTCTGCATCGGCCAATCGGCTCGCTGCACCCTCGCTGCGAGGGGGACCCAAGTTCCCATCAGCAAAAACACGTGGGTTTGCTATCCTGGCTCCAAAATGGTAGAATGAGCTCCCCATTGAAATCAGGACAGCAGATAGCTTACACATCTTCCGGCGCAGACTGAAAACTCATCTCTTTCGACTCCACTTCGAGCGATAGAATTACTAACAAAGCACTTATATACTAACAAAGGACTGGCTTATCTAAAGCCAGTTGAGTAGCACTTGAAATGTTTGGCTCTATGAAACCTGATGTACTTATATGATTCTGTTTTCTTCAAGGTTGGATCTTCTTGGTCGAATGCACTTATTGTAAGTCGCTTTGGATAAAAGCATCAGCTAAATGCAATGTAATGTAATGCATCCTCTAGGGACACTGCAGCTGACTCAGCATCAGTTCCCCCTCTGAGCCTTATTAAATGTTATGTCACCATTAGCGTTAAATTAGTATTTGGTTAGTTTTAAAGGTCCACTATTATAATGTTTTTCATCAATATATTATAGGTCTCAGATATATACAAAACATGTCTCTGAAGACATCCCCTCTGTTTCAGCCCTGTTTCCAAAGTGCTGATTCTCTGTCTGTTACTTTAGATGAAAATAAGGAGCCCCTCCCCACGCCCCTCTGAGAGATATCTGGTTAAAAAGAACACAATGGTGCTCTAGGAGGAGATTCAGGTGATAAGGTGGGGGGGGGGGGTTACCTTGGTTGGTGATTGGCTAATGGTTACACAAGCCAAAAAATCGTTATGACATCATTAAGTGGTGAAAATCTGATCAGCTCGTTTTC